GTTAAAAATAGCAATTTGAATGTAAAAATTGAGCAAATGTAACTTTTGTCACTACTTTATATGAACACTTGCAGTTTCCCGCGACTTCGACGGTGCAAATTATTAGGTGAATGAATTTTCATGATTGGATCAATATTTCCGAAGAAAACCTACTACAAACAAACAAATAAAGTGAGAAAGTTAACCTTTGTATTACAGTATAGTTAAGATTACGCGAAGCTGACAACTGTATGATGATGCTACGTGGCAGGTTTGCCCAGCGACGTGTGTACGTAATTTAAGCTTTACAGTCTACGTAAACTATGATAACGGTGTGACGTCAGGCTGAGTCGTCAACTGCTATAGAAGTTCTGTTATTCGGATCTCTGGAAGCAATAAGAATCTATGATTGGCTAACCTTATGCACTGAAGTGCAAGTTTGCAAACAATGAAAACCTTTCATGGCCTTTTAACGTACGTCTATAACGTTTCTACAGCTCTTATGATATAAGAGAAATTATTTAATTTCTCTTACCATAAACATATTCATTAAAATGTTGTCAAGACGTCATATGGGTAGCACTGTCAAATAGTTTTCATATGTTATGTAGAGCTAAGCTTCGATCTCTAAATGCTGTAACTCTACAAGCCAAAACATAAATTTACGAACTTTACGCCTTGACCAAAACAAGTTTGATTGCCATCATATAGGCGTAAGATTCATTACTTTTCTATTACATATTAGTACAATAATTAAATTATTGTTTGTATATACAGTGTATGTTTTAAATAAAGAATTCCTACACCGCTTTAGTCCGCAATAGGTTCCTTGATTGAGAACGCTGCTACGTAAAGGTCGTAGCCGTGACGTTCGTAGCAGTTCGTAGTCACAAAAATTAATTAATCATCGATCTTTGAACGTCTACGAATGTATTGCTGATTAAATTGCAATGTTTCATGGTGGTTTCATGCATAGAACAGAAATAATAATTACAAACAAAACAAATCCTTTTTGAAAGACTTCAAAATCGAAAATTCATTTCTCGACGAATTTTGGACCTGTTTACAAATTTATTTATTTTCAAAAGTTAATGGGCCCCCCCGTGATATGAATTTTACCCAAATCACAAAGCTATTTTGTATATTTAGATTGTAGCCCCTTGGTGTTGCAGGTGTCCATGGGCGACGGTAATTACTTACCATCAGGTGATCCGTCTATTCGTCTGCCCCCTATCGCATAAAGAAAAATATACACTGTTGCCGAAATTTTTACTATCGATCCCTACTGGATTTCGGATTTCGGAGCGTAATTAGTGAAAACAAACAAACTAACAAACAATATTTTTCATCTTTATAATATTAGTAAGGATGGTTAAAAGATTTTTGCCAAGTAACGAAAATTTACATATAAAATTATTTACATATAAAATACATTTATTTCATTGAAGAAAGCAAAAGATCGGTTATAGTTATAATGGCAAAATATAACTAGTTGCGCTTCTATTGAGATGCAATTATACATAAACATTAGCAGAATTGACCTAAAGGTCTACACTTGAAACTGTGAAAAATGTAACATCAAAATTAACATGAAAAAACTGCCGCGGACGCCGCAAAAACGCATATTTCGACATTCTCGACGGAATTAAAATTGATAGGGTACTTCCCGTTAACCTAGAACTATGAAATTTGACAAATAGCGTCGTTTTATAGCATAAGTTCAAGGAAAGATCTGAAAACTAGACAATTCTAATTAAATCATGAAAAAATATATAGTCTTACAGTGTTGAGAGGAAACGATCGACGCTTCATGAATAGTTTTCCCTACAAGTAAAAGTCTATACGGTACAATCAAATATGAATATCTCTTTCAATATTTTATTTAGCGATAAAAATACGTATACATCTCATTTATTTCTGTAACTAGTAGTGTTTTTAAGTTAAAAGCATTTTGAGTTGCAAATATTTTTTCACGATATAGTAATTTTTTCTGAATATGTTTGTGTTCTCCTTATACAATTCAGATTCATTAACATTTTCTAAATTGTCAATTAACTTATTTATTAATCCAAATCTTTGTTGAAATTTTTGAGCCCATTAAAAGATGTAGGAGGAATAAAGTACACAGTTACAAACCAAATTCATGAAACACTTTTCTTACGACTTACGCACCGTTTTACGAATATTTTATTGAATTAATCTGATTTCCATTTTCATGTTAACTCTGTCTTTCTAAACATCACTTTTTCAAGCAAAAACTCTCTATAAAAAATAAAATAGACACGTTAAGGCAATCAAAACGACAAACTTTTCTCTTTCAGGATAGTGAAATAAAAATTGATAATTTATTTCCTCGTCGTCTGTAGGAGATTAATTATGCACCTTAATTCATCGTATTCACTTTATCTCACTAAGTAAAAAGTTTTTAGTGTATGTTTTGTCATTTTGAACCCGTTAAGTCTCTCGTGTGTTTTTCATATACAAACATGAAACTCTGGGGCGGCACTAGTTCATGTGATATCTCATATGAAAGGGCTTGATGTATGTACATATTATGAAACACATTTAATTTGTTTCACGATGTTATATTTTTATTATAATAAAATATAATATTAGTTTTTAACGGCGTGTCTGACAAAATATCTGACAATAAAAAAATAAAAGCCGTGTTTGATTGTGATAACAACTCATTATCTTATATTCTATAAGCAAATTATTGAATAACAGTTATTTATAACTGAAAACTTAGGATATTCGATGTAAATTCGATGTACACAAGGGGCTTAAACGACCCATTGTATACGTGATTATTTAAACCCTTGCTAAAAGCTGGCTATAATAGAAATCGAGTTATAATGGATTTCTGTCGACGTGTCTGACACTCTACATAGATTCCAAAAAAATTTAAATATTAAATCATATTCGCAAATAAATTCTTAAATAGAGAAAATATTGAAAAAAAAACGGAACCATGCTTTTTTTACTTTATGTTGAAGCTGTTGGAGCTACACAAAAGAGTAATTCCGTAATAGACGGTCCGTTTCACATGCATTCCACTAAATCATAGAGATCGCTGCTTTAAGTTCCATAAAAAAATAATACCTAAGTATTGCAATTTTAAAATATTAAGGTTAACATATAGTTGTCCACGGTGATTGTTTGAAGCATACCAAAGAAATAGAAATAAATAGCTTAACAACGCTCAAAGATCGAAATTGCTCATTAAGCAAAAACCTAGTTCACCACGCGTTGTGGTCACAGTAAAATATCCACATAGCGAAATTCACGTTATGGTTCTTATGGAAACGCTCACAACGCGTTGCGGTAATCACAGAATAACCACATAGCGAAATCCACCTCCTGGCTGACATGCTATTCGACCGCAACGCGTTGTGGCTTTAAAGAAAAATCATGAAGAGTATAGGCCCATATCTGGTGAAGGTCGCGGGAAGCCACTGGATGCAGGGAGGCAGGACCGATCACGTTGGAGATCATTGGGGGAGGCCTATGCCCAGCAGTGGGCGTCTCTCGGTTGATATGATGATGATGATGATGATGATGATGATAGGCCCATATTTTATTACAACGCGCAGTGTTATCAAATATTGTCGAGCGATATGGATATAGATTTTTGTTCAAGAATTTTGCATTGAGTATAGCAACAAAAACATATAGGTTAGGTTAGAAGATGACCTGGGGGACTCAGACGGTTGGTAGCGAGGGAGGCTGAGGAGTTGCCCTGTGCAAGCAGGAGAGGGAATTTTTCATCTCGCACTTCGGCCGCGGGTCGTCGGGGTTCGGCTGCCGCATATACCGTTCGGTGTGTGACGTGACCAAGTCCGAGTGGCGTCGCGACCGGAGTGTGACAAAGGGATGGTGAACCGAAAACCAGCCTGGTTTTTATCAGGCTGGCCATCGATGGTAACCGGGGCTATCGGGGGAAGGATTCGTGAGAGTACAGCCCAGATGAATATACCCCTGATCTTTAACTAGCCCTTCAGGGCTGGTCCGCAGGTGAGAGTCCCACATAACCCGTGGACCCGTAATAAAAAAGTGTGAATATGACCAACAACGCACGACCCGAGCGAGCAAAGCGAGCGTGCTGCGACAGCGGCCGGCGAAGTGCCAAAAGCGAATCGCTATTGTAAAATGAAACAGTTAGGTTAGTTTAGGTCACATTAAAATTTAGGTGTGCCGACAAGCGAAGAGAGGGGGAGCGTATTAGGTTGACTGAGAGCAAAACAGAATCAACTTAACTAATACTACATCCAGTCCGTCGTGATATGGTTAAATCTTCATTACCACAACGCGTTAAACTCTAAGTAGTAATTGAATCTAGATCAGAGTTAATAATGTTAACCGCATCGTTGATAATATCGTTAATAATTATGTACCAGTCGCTTAATTGAATTTTGTAAATCATTTGAATACAAGTAAGAAATAATTTGTGGGTAACTTCACACCTTAATCAAAACGCGTATAATTGTATTACTTGGCCGTTCGAACTATTACGAACTATTATTGTGCTTTTAACAAATAAATAATCAAACGCCTTGCGTCTATGTGACGGTAGCTAAATTGATACCACATTATATTGTAGGTATTCGTTTTAATTGTTGTATTGTCCATATTATTAATTTATTAATTTTGAATCATTTAAGTAATATATATTGTCCAATCTATAAAAATATATTATAGAAATAATTTACCTCTATATAATAATCTGGTGACACATAATAAATGTATGTTATATTATTACAGGTAGTTGACAAAAGCAAGCGACACCGCGGGCGGTTACTAGTAATATCGGATGTCACTTTTACAGACAACAGTATATTTTGCGTCCACAATAAAGCTTTTGTTGAATTATAAACCTTATCGCGTACATTTAAGCTATTACTGTAATTGTTACGTGTGCATAACGATCTCGCGAAAATCGCCCGCCACATACTATCTGGCAGCGGTCCCAAAGTCAGCCACGGAGCTTATAAAAGACGACAGCCATCTCAGCCCGCGCCCGGCACCTCGCACTCCCCATTCTATCCTCATGGGGCGCGCTAATCTCTCACGATAGTACCAAAAAAAAAACAAAAATACATCATATGTATAGTTTTTAATCACATACCAGTTACTGGGACCAAGTGATAAGTGATACGGTAAGTCGTTTTACACGTGCTAGTGTTGCCTATAGAAAACAAGATTGTGACATGTGAAAAAAGGTGAACAGTGTTGCCCACAAATGTGATCGGACATGGATGTTATAGTGACATTGCGGACCTGCTAAATGGATAGCCCGAATTAGACGCAGCGACATCTGTAGTCGAAGTGTTGAAGGAGCCGGAGCCAGTGTTACCAGAAGTAAAATAAGTGAACTAGTGAATTTAATAGGACGTTCTGAATAATGAAATGCATTGTGTAACTTTCCTACTCATACAATCTAACATAAAAATTTATTATCACGCGAATAAAGTGCTTAACGTACATGTTTTATTAACAAACTTACGAACTTCTGGAAATACTGGCTACTTTTAAAAACGAGAAGGCGAAACACTTTTTCGCTACTTCATAGAGTTGTTTGTTACAAAAAAAAAGTATTTTAAAATCAGTTTTGTATTCTTGTGGTTTGACATAAATATTTAACGATATACCGTACATTTGATGTAACATACTAAACGTCACAGGTATTCACATCATGTACGTCACTGCTAAGAATAACTCAGCAGTACGCTTGCAAAAAGAAGCTTACTCGAATATCCCTGAAACCGTTAGATAATAATAAAATATATAAATTAAAATTCCTCATTCGTATATATCGAAACTTGTGAACCATTAAAATCAAAGCTTTATAATTTATTACTAAAACGAATTTATGTTTACTCCATGCAGTTACTATAAGATACAAAAATACAGATAGTTTCGGAAGTAGAAACCGCAAATATGCGCTCGAAGCACCTATAATCGCTGACGTCAATGAACCGTTATAAACGCATTAAACAATAGAAATACAGACGTGATCCATTATCTAATACAATATCATTAGAATTCAGTTATGACGCAACATAAAAATGTAAGGAACGAGCAATTTTTATTTAGAAATCTAAGTATATAGAGATAAAAATAAATCAAATAATTTAGTTTTCATTACATAGAAACATTAATGTAATATTATACGTTAGACAGCTCTGAACTCAAATCATTATTCTCTAGCAATATGGATTAGTTAAAATGGGGAAATCCCTTGAGATGTGATGATAGATCAATGTTATGACCTTGAACTATAGTTCTAGGTGTTGACCTTAACCGAAGAATAGGTCAAAGCGACGAACTTAAAAGTTTGGCGACATCCAACAGCCGTATTCTATTTCTTGTTTTGTTTGCGCAATTTGATTGAAGATTTTTTTGTTATTAGCCGATAATTTTTTTTATTATATGATCGAAAATTTCTAAATAGAAACACCTGAAATTCTTAGATCTCCAAAAACAATCATGTACTCATAACTTTACACTAACGACATTACCACGTACTTTCCATGGCATTTGCTCTTAAATAATTAATATAAATCTTTAAAATTGTCCTGCTTAAAATGGTAGATTGTTTTTAAATGGTAACACTAAAGATTAATCTAAGTATGATATCGAAGTTACAAACTTTATGCATCGTAGATCTAATTCTGACATATTAATTGGAACACCTTGATGCCCTTCTCGATTTTGGCTAATAAAACGACCTCACTATAAGTGTCCATTAAATACTATACAACCCGTCGTCATCTCGCCAAGTGAGACCTGCCAAAACAGATGGTTACGACACACTCCAATACACTATAATTCTATTTCGATTATTACCTTCGCCTATTTATTTCTAGATGACGAATCGCACTGATGTATTACGTGTGTACGTAGCCTATCCGATGTGAGATTCGGTTCTTATACTATGTGCGTAAGCAAAATCTCGTTACATCACCTTTGGAATTTTAAAAGCTCGCTTGTTACTGAGGAATAGCGTCGGCAACTCGGGAATTTTGCTAGATAGTTATTGAAGTTTGACGTAGTAAAAGTCGAAATAAATTTTCGTTTGGTACTAACATGTTCATGTTCATAAAGCTAAAATAATAACACAGTCTCGGAAAAATATGAAATAATATGAATTTGCTTTATTTTGAAAACTTTAACTCGACTTTTAACTACTTATGTTAATGTAAAACAAACTAATTAAAAAAATATATGAAAATATGACTTCACTAAATATGGGAGCTGTTTAAATACATATTTAATAGTTTACAAATTTTCCTGTGTCTAAATGTATAGTAATGTATCACAATAAATTGATCATAAACAATGAAACCTCTTAAATTCGTCCTAACCGATTGAGAAATTACTTCCCGAACTATGTTTACTAACACAAACTCTAGATCTAGTTAGGTCACTGCACTAAGCTCAAGAGCAATCTTAAAATCATCAGTTTGATACTGTCAATATTATTTTATCCACAAACAGAGAATCTTTCAAAAAAGTCGGTGTTCTGTTTTATAATAATCTACTATCTACGCTGCAAAGCAAAGTGTTATCACTTCGCACGTCACGAGATCAGTGAAATGCTTGAAAGAATTTCAAACAAATAGACGTGCTGTTCTCTAAGCTTAATATTTGAATGTTAATATAGACGAGTAGTAAGACTGCCTACGCTTGTTTACACTATGGCTTTAATTTGTCTGTTTTATATTTCCAACGACACTAACACGTCCCACCACAAAAAAAGGTATCATTTACTAATCCTTTTCGATCCAATTTTCAGTCACTGATTGAAGTCCAACCTGAGAGTACCTGAGATATTTATTTTTTGAGTAATAATAAATATTCGAATACAAATAAAATAAAATTCAAAATAATTAGTCTCTGAAAAATAAGATCCTCTACAAAGTCTATACGTTTCTTAGTTTCAGAAGACCATATAAAGAATTTAGGGACCCCGAGCTTCAAATACACTTATTAATATTTTGTTTCACCAGCAAAAAAGTTTAACAATACCCACTGCACTACAAATTGATCTTACTATCGTATAAATCGCTGAACAATCAATGGCACAGTTTCCAGTACAATTCATCTTCATCCAGTCTGCATTATAATTTGTATTACGCGTTGTAAAACAAGAAACTGTAAAGTGTTAATTCACTATTCATAGAGGTGACGGAACGTCATAACACTGTATTTCAGAAATAATAATAATTGGCAATAAATTGCGTCACAGAAATATGATTTTAACGACCACATATGTACATAAAGACCGATACACCGATAAAATTTAGCAATTAATACAGAATTGGACTTTAATAAATTAAAAAATAATAATAATATTAAACAAAATTAAAATCAATTAATTCATTAGGCTTGTTTTCCGAGAAATGCAGAAACCCAAGGTATAAGCTTTAAACATATGTGTTATTTTTTGAGCTGTTACTCTCAAAAGGACAGCTCAAAAAATATAGTACCCCTACTCATAATAAATAACAGTAAGTAAATTTTATAAACAATCTGTATGGTTTTGGCAAGTAGACTATTTAATTTTTTAAATAATTTTATTGTTTACTTTTTTCTTCCAAATAATATCACAACTTCATCCGAAAAATGTACACTGAGCTTTTTGCTTATTTCTCTAGAGATTAGGGAATGTAGTCAATGTTGACTCCTTGAGATCAAAGTCCGTTTCCTAGGTGTTAATAAAAACGACAACTTATTTTAGAGATGCAAGTGGTCTAAAATCGACCCGTTTTAATTAATACAAATTCTATCAAGTTTACTCATTTAATGATATCAATGACAGTGATAACAAGTTTATTGATTTAATCAATAGAAAATGAAAAAACAAGAGATAGGATTTTTAAAACAATTAAGCTCACCCAGTTGCACAGACATTCATCAAAATTGTCAGCATTACCGATACAACTTTTCAAATTAAGAAGAGCTTAAAATTGTCGTTAAACCTTAATGATCGTTGAAGATCTGTGGTAATGTTCCCTTTGGAAAGGAGGTCTCTCGCCCAGCAATACTATTCTGTTATATTTAACAGCTCGACCTCAAGTTAGAATATGTTTACAGGCATATTCTAACTTGACGTTGTGCGCAGCGGTTTCATAGTATAGAGGTTTGATCAAATAAAACCTACTTCAAAGGTAATAAAGGTTTTAGAGTTCTATGCTATCACAGCACTGTGCTTGAGGTCGAGTTCGAAGCTGTTATAATAGCTTGGCTGAACAGTTTGAGATTCCCTGCTTTAGATTGTTAAGTGCAGTGCAGTGTGCATCCAAACATAAAGTGCAGTTTGCATCCAAACATACTCGCTTTTCGTAAATCTAACTAATATTAGAGAATTTACAAATATTACCACCTCTAATATAACAAATATTTTTAAGTCGTAGCTACTAGCAGTATGAATACGGTGAAACATATCAATAATACATCATACATCCATAATAAGAAAGATTTCTTATTTCTCCTTGCTCACTAAACTTTTTATAACACTATTTTTGAACCGTGAATGTGTTTTTAACTCATAGATTTTACTATATTACAGTACATGTAACCTCTTGAATCAAAAAAATATGTTTTATTAATAGCTATACGTTTCCTTATTAGACAAAAAACACGTAGCTACTGCAGTATGGATGTGGTGAAACAGATAAACAAATACACCATACATCCGTAAGAATCAAAGCCCATTTTTACGCGGTCACTAAACTTTTAATAAAACTACTTTTACTACAATATTCATACTAAAAATTATCTACAGTGTGGAGCACTACGAGAAAAAACCAATCAGAAGCTATAACCTATCTTCAGGAGAAAAGGACTCATGAATACTGTAGTTGATGCTCCGAGCTTTTCTTGATCTCTTGCTATCTAGTTTTCGGTTCTGGGTTCGTTAGGCGATAGGCACGATTTCGCGATAAGCATGATTCCGCCTGACTGATTCTTATTAATCGAAAATGATTTGATTAAAAACAGCATAAAGGATTACTTTTATAGAGATTTTAATTTACGATGACCTTAGATATTACTCATAAAACTATACCTGACTATACTATGGTTTATTTTAATCTGTATGCATCTCTTAACCACAAATTTTACTGCGGTTTCCATTCCCGGTAAGGTCAGTGTAGAAAATGAAATTTTCTATATTGTCTCGGATCTAGGTGTTACGATCCCTTCATTTTTTCAGATTTCCGTATTACAAGTGCGTTTTTAGCTAATACTTAATTTAGGATGTATATGTTTAAATGAGCAGTGTATGTGAATTTGTACAATATTTGTTTATTTATTTTATGGCTCTTCTATATGCATCTGCATGGTTAGTTTTCCGTCCTTGAACTCATAAAGTTCATCCAAATTATACATCCGATATATTTGAAGACAATGTGAAATAGCTTAAGTCATCTAACTTCACACAGACGCTGAAAGGAAAATTGAATAGGTCCTCGTTCCAAATTGTCCCTTCATTATTTTATTTTTTGATTTTGTTTAAATACATATAATTTCCTTAATGAAAACACATGTTAGTAGAATTAATCTATCCTGGTGGCTCGATCACAGTTTCCGGGACCTCATCCACAGAGGCTTATCCACAGAGGTAGGAGGACGGGAGGTCACCGTAGGCATAGACGTGGGTGCACAAAGGAGAATCCCATACAGCCCGTCTCGCTTAAGCAGCTGGGACAGTGCCTACACAAGAAAAAAAAAGAATTTCAACCAAAACGTAAACTTATATAATTTTTTAGTAGGTAATTTATAAAAACATGGTGTATTTTAGGGGTGACTGTGATCTTTTCTAGCCAGAAAATGTTATTTTTCATTTTGGCTTGACCCAATATGATAATAAAGGGCAATCGAATATTGTTGTATTAAAAAGGCATGATACCAGTATTAAATATGTCAATAATATAAATTGACCCTTTTCATAGCTAAACAAATATTTTTAAAATACAAAAGAAAGAGCAAAAATAGAGAAACTTTGGCTAATAATTATTTACTATTTAAAAATATGACATTCCTATTTGTGATAATATAAAGTAAGTTTATAAAGTAATATAAAATTAATTCAGTAAGCAATGAAACAACTTTTGCTACCTAACTAATGACCGAAATGATATACCTAAACAAAATGTCATTGTTTATTAAATTTAAACTTCTATTACCTGGATGACCTGTATTTTTTGTTAAATGAATCCTAGCTACATAGATTTATCGCCCTCGAAACCTCATGCGTACTAAACATCATAAACATCGTTGGAGTTCGTTTCTGACATTCACATTTATACGAAAATTGCTCTTTTAAGGTATTTAATACAAATATGATTAATCACTATTAACTGCCAACTTGATTTACTCCATAATAAATACAAGTTTTATAATAATTACGTATTAGGTAATTCAGAGAAATGCATTACTTTGAAGAGTAGTTTAATTATATATTGTTAAATATTATAATGCCTAAGAAAACCTGTATATCTTTATATAACCTGTATGTCTCGCTATATATAAATCTTCACAGTAGCAGAAATCATTCACTTTCGCGATGGACGCAAATGGAATTGTACATACTATGATACAATATGGTATGTTTCTGCCAATTATTACCTTGAAACTGTTAAATTGATCTAATAATTTATTAAAATATAAAAAACTTTTCGTTGAAAACAATTCATATTCGTCTATTCACAAATTATCGATTAATTTTATATACCCAGTCGTTAATAGAAGGAATGAAGCGATAAAAATGTTTGATCAATGTTTATCGACGCTCATAATGGCGTTTAGAAAGGGAACATTTATCAGATACAAATATTTACTTCAAACAATCAATCTATGTTACTTATTGTGAAAAAAATATCAATGCGTTAAGATCTGTTATTTGGTACTAATAATTGTGTTATTATTCATTTAACGGCAAAAACACAAGTTATTAGTGTAATTAAAAAGCTCGTAAAATTATTCACGCGAACTAATCAATAATCATGAAAGTAGTAGTAGACTGAGCTCGACCCGGGCATCGGTCGCTATAAAAAGATCATCATAGGACGGCCGTCTCGCGACATGCAACCCTGGAAACCGACTCAGCAGTGCCATCGAGTACTGTTGCCAAAATAATTAAAGAAATATCAGTTAGTATCCCTCCACCGCGCCCGCGCTGCTCTAAAATCGTCGCTCTTAGCCCGGGAGTCGCTACTCGGGGCGCGGAGGGAAAACATCTCCCGCGCCACTCTTATTTCTTCTTTCCTTCCCGACGCTAACGAAAAAAAATATCTCAGTAAGTTCCTAATTCCACCCTTTTAAGCGGATAAATCGTGAATGTGACTAAAAGTGTTCATCAAGTGCTAATAATAGAATTGAAATGAAAGTTTGTGAACATTCAAGTGATAAAAGTGTTACATAACGCGAAACTAATTTTCAAGTTTTTAAAAATACCGCAATTTATAAGCGCCTTCAGAACAAAAATAGCATTGCGTCACGTGGTACCAAATCGACCTATAGGAGCGCTCCACATTTTTGTGTAACCATAAATTGAATTATCAATTCTTTTAAGAAGAAAATTTGTGAGCTACGTTAAATCTTTCAAATACAAAAAATTATTAAATCAAAACATTTCTTATGTACTTTGAATTTAAAATAAAAATTTAAAACTCTCGTTTGATAAAAATAGTTAGTGACGTAGAGACAGATGGCGCCACACATCATGCCTTCTCTTTCATGTCAGTTTACGAAAAAATGACGGCTAGATTGGATACGTGTTCGCGTGGTTTATGATATTTACGACAAAAAGTATTAACTTAGTACAAACATAATTTACGACTCTATAAAATAGTGAACAGACTTTTTTGATTATATGTAATATTGCATTAGACATTTTTTCTCATGTATTAAAAAATTGGTGAGTGGTGCAGTGAACAAATAATAGTGCTTGCCGTCTAGGAAGTTGTCATTTACCCAATAAATATCTTCATTCATTGGCATATTTCTATCACTCAAAGTGATGCTTATAGGTATAATTAACAAGTGACTTTAAATTGCGGATACAGTAGGTATAGCATGGGCTACGCGACCTATAATAGTAGATCTCAGTAAATCTACGTTCGTACATCGTTATGTGTTGAATGCAGCACGAATTCGTCCCTTGCATTAGCTAAACGTTACCTCAAATGACAATGTTATTTATCAAGCTAAGATTTTTCTTCTGTCCACAGTCTACATAACCTCAAAAGTGTTCAGATTGAAAATGATGACTCGTCATTCCTAACCTATTTCTTCTTGTCTTTTAGAACTGACGGCAACGTAGTAATTCCACCATGGAGGACGCTCACACGAAATCCGTGGAAGAAGTTTTAAGCTATTTCGGCACAGACCCAGACAAGGGCCTTAGCCCTGACCAAATCAAAAGGAATCAAGAAAAATATGGGCCAAATGGTATGTATTACTTTTTTATTATTGTACTCACTTAGATAAATCAGTCAGAGCAGTATTTGGGCTTGGTTAAAGATAATTTTATTCAAGTTTTGTTTATAACATGTGTAGTATAATTTTTCACTTACTTGGCATATTATATTATATCTTAGAATAATATCAAATAAATAATTTAACTATTTGTATAAACTGACATCTCTTTTGTTCATATCTTATTTTGTTTACAACCTTTAAGTATTCCTTTGAAATCAAATATATTGCTTAAATAAGTAAATATTTGATCAATGAACTAAATGTTAGCATAATCTAATAACACAAATAAATAGTTTTGAACCACATCTTATGTTTAGTTCATATTATTATTTTCTATTATTGGCTGTTTAATTGACCGTTGATTGTTTAATTACAATTACCATGTATATTATCTTATTTAAATAGACCATCATGCATTTACTAATATTATAAATTCTAGTAAAGAATTATGGCTTCTCTGTTACACTCTTAATTTTCAAGCTACTGTGTTGATACAATGAAATTTGATATAGTCATAGCCTGATAGTCATGAGGATGATCATACTTGGAAAGGACATTTCTGCCAAAGTCTATAAGGGGACAGTCTTGAGTCCATACATTTGACATTCTTTAATACCTAGTGTCAATGTAAAGATAATATAAATCTCAGGAACTCTTGAAGGCATTTATTGTTAGTTAGCAAGCTATCAGTCAGGGTTACTTGAGACTTTGCCAGCTGGATTCTGACCTTGAAACATTTTGTGTTGACAACTATTTATAAAAATAGAGAAGATGTCCGAATGACAGTGCTGCGAACAAAGTTCTAGAGATCGCAAAAATAAATGTTAACATTATCTCATTTCAAATGTTTGCATAATATAAATTAACCAGTTTTATATCTGTTGACTTCTAGACAATGTCATATATAGATATCTTTTCAATAAAGAAATTGCATAGATATCTGTCTGAATTTATATGTGAATAAAAATAATAAATTAATTTTGAATTTTTTCGATTAACCTAAATAAAAAAAAAAAAGATAAAAAATAAAATATATATATAATGAACTTGTAGAAAAAGTGCTGATTATATTTTTCTTGTTCTAAACTGACCAAGGACATTATAAATGCTATTAAGCAATAATGACAAATTACAGACTATTAGAAAACAATGAGGTATACTTTTCATTATTAAAATTTCATGATTTATCATTGAAACAAAACACTTCTAACAATAGACTTCTATAGTTTGTATGTAATAATTCATATATTTTTTTACTTAATTTTAATTCAGTGATTTCATAGATTAGCAGTCAATAGCATATTTATCTCCCTTTGTTATGAATAATTTTATCAGTTAATAACTTCTTTCACATATATGTGTAAATAGCACTTCACTGTTTAAATTTTACATGGAAAATTGTGAAAGAGATCTGTTTACACATCATTAGTAAGATACAACAAGTAAATGTTAATCTTGATAAATAAAAGTCAAAGAATTGCTCAACTTTTATTGTTAATACGAAATATTCGAAAATAAAACAAAATTATCTTCCCCTTTAAAGTAAAATATGTTTACAGAGAATTAATAAACTGCTCTCTTAGAAAGATAATTGTTCCACCAGTCTTAATGTGATTCAACTGAGCTAACAATTTTTATTGACTTGTAAAGTCAATTGTATGCTGAGATTGTGTTAATTTATCTTTGCTTAAGTGTATTGATCTAGTATCTTAAGCTTACATACTTCTTGTTCATTATAAAATCTTTCTTATCTTTTACATTCACTCTCAATAGTATTTGATAAAACTAATACTTAAATTGAATGATTATTTGAATGAATTCTTATTAAGCAATATAAATTTTTAAATAAAATCTTCTAAAGTTCCTTGGATAAAGCAATGTGTGTTTTTAATAATGTAAAAATAGTGACCAAAAATATTAATTCACACAGTAAGTCGCGCTCGCCTAATTTATCAAATCGTAATGGATCCGAAATACCGTAACGTATCGGTAACAAAAAAGCAACACACTTTTTATACGAGAAAAATGTAGGCTTATTCATAAATTCGAAGTGTTTTCAAGAAAATAAGTGCGATGTGACCGTGCATGATTAGCGAGGGTTATAGGTGCTTAACAGCGATTTATTTATAGTGTAAGTAAGGGCGAAGGCTGCAGTGGTGCGAGTGCCCGATCACCATCGGAGCCATCAGGCGTAACGGTGTCGTACTCGATGGCCAACCGGCTACCCGCCCCGGCCGCCCCTACCGATATAGGGCACCCGCCACCATTATTTTAATGCTCGATTTCACCTTATTCATTAGCCTCAGGGATTTCTACTAAAAGCATCATATATTCTCTTTAATAGATTTTAATCTATTTGTGAGGTCGTTCTGTGATAATACTTTTTACGTCTTTAATAACATAAAGTAAGGCGTATTTATAATTCTATATTTATTTATGTGGAAAAACAATATCGTGTGTAATATTATATTCTCAGGATACAAAATTATTTTTTAAATTTCTTTAATATTATGCATAAGTTTATTGATATTTTAATAGTATACAGTATCTATTCTAAATACCCAGTTCCTTTGATCGACATTGATGTTCAAATTATAAAGAGAAGGTATTAGGTATATTGTTGTAATATTGTAAAAAACATCCACTTAACATAAAATTATGTTCCATTGAGATTTGTCCTCGAAACATATAAATCCATAATAATAACAACGCGTAGATAAGCGTCATAGTATGCACCAGTATTAGTGTGAACTCGTTGATTTCACATAAACCACAGCTAAACGTATTAGTAGTGTTTTGAAACAAGCATCGTCGGGCATTACGACAATATTTGTTTCCATTTTAACTAGTGATGCGACAAATACTACTTTTAACGATTCCGAATATCAATCATACTAATGATTCAGGGAATATAGTTTACATATTAACTAATAATTTGATAAATTTCTGATCTAAAAGTACAAACTGTTAAATCTATACCTAAATACCAATAACAATGCTGAAAAGTTTGTTTGGTTGAACTCGTTCGAATTGTAAAATTATTTTTCTTATGAATAGTCCATATATTGAGGAAAGCTATAGGCTATATATCATCATGATATGTCCAATACGAGTGAAGCAGCAATAAAAACTACGCGGGCGAAGCCGCTGGCGGAAAGCTAGTGTAGCATAAATTATAAAAACACAGCTAATAAATACGATCGATGAATTGTTTACAACAACTATTTAACTAGTCTCAACTCTTGGTTTCAAATGAGCAAATTATATGTAAAATCTAGGTTAAATAATGAGTACCTATGTATTCGGTCGAATACCCGGTGCATAAACAAACCGTAATTTGCGGTACGTTCAGTTTCAAGTAGATCATACGTGATGATATTCGTCGAATATGATTTTTCGATATGTATTCATATTGCATTGTATCACTAATTTTAATCAATACTTCCAAAAACAGTAAACTTCCTTATTATGAAAGAATTCATTGATAGAATAACGTATTAATAAAATTGACATAAATGTTATTAATATCTAATTATGTAACAACGTCCAATCGTTCGTATGATTGATCTGTATTGGATTCATTTAATGCTACTGTGAAGTCATAAAACTATTAACATGTCAAGTGTTCAATTTTATTTGATAATACGCATACATAGTATTATTTACTTTTTTTATAAGATTATTTTTAAGATATTTAGTGAATTAAAACATGAATTATTACATTTGTTTGCCAAAATTATTACAATATGAACTCTCTAATATAGAATGAACCCCTTTTTAATTTAGTTAAAAATATTTATAGTTAATCTCCTCCTATCTACCATTGATGTTGAGGCTTTTTTTAGTTTTGGAAAATAATGAAATTGATAATTAAATTATTGTTATGTAGTTATATAAAAATAACACTAAAAACTAAGATATTATAGAAACGACTAGAAAATCTACAAGATTATCGTTTGCTACATTAATACCACTAGTTCTATGTTGTATTTCACACAGAGATGTAAATCTCATACATTATCTAAACGGTTAGTGCTGGCGCCCAACGCACTGTATAATTCGGCTTATTACGAAAGTGCCACTACACAGGTTTATTTTGATTCAGCCGTTATGCTGGCCAACCAAACGCACATCAATATATCGCTGCATCACAAAATGCAGATTAGAAATGTTAAAAATAGCCTTTTTGCTACACTTTATTAAATTAAAATATTTAAAAAAATACTGGCCTGTATTTTTATATTATAACTGAGGCCTATTCTAATTTTAAATTGTAATGTAACATAAACACTTGATTTTACTTGAAATATCTAATATCAAGCTAGGGAATTGTCGCCGATCACCGTTAATTCTAATTGTTTTAAAATAAATCGTGTATTTTATAGTGATGTAGCAAATAATTATTAAATGTTGAAAACAACATTATCATGAACTTACATGAAGCTTCACGATCCGTAAGGAAGAAATGAAGATGTATGTCGTGCATCGTATTGACTTGAAACCAGAGTGCGCAAACGCTGGAATAAAATCAGTATAATAATGACATCGAGACTCCTTCCAATAAAAAGGAAGTAGCAAGATTATAAAGCTCCAAAGTAATGATTAATTACTTACGAATCATTACAATTGTTGGAAAAATCTCAAGTCCCTCGGATATTTATCATTTTTTATTAGGTATAATAAGAGAATATAATTACGATAATTTTAAAGGTGACTTTACGTTTTTTGATTGTCGAGAAAATTCTATAAACTCAACGTCAGCTCAGTGTTAACATCAAGAAATATTTTAAATCGCAGTTTATTTGTACTTTTGTTTTGCTGTAATTTGCATTTGCCTTTGCCCTCTATTAACAAACGTTAACCACACGATACGGTAATATATTTGTAACGCAAATTATCACATTCACATGACCAGTAGTTAGGCCATGAAATCCATTTGTCGCGAACTATTTTAAACGTCCCACTCGAGCAAGGTACATGTCTTACTGTTTTGAATTCATTCATCGCAAAAAGATACACTTTTAAATGGGACAGATACGATTCGCTTTCAGTTAACTGTAACTTTCTCTTTGGGTATCTTGTATAGGTAAATTTTTATTCGCATTTTATTTGTAAACCTTGGTCTACAATCAAATCGCTAACATACTTTCTCTTCATCTGCAACATAAATAAAAAACGACGTCTATTTTTTTCATTTCCCATCGATGTGATTCTGTAAATACTATACTCTAGCAGTGCTATTAATAAACAAGGTTTAGCGTCAGAGTAAATTTAAGCTAAAATTGCAATTTTCATATTATACAGAGAATAAGCAAATCTACTATCTTCTAGGAATATTGCTCCCGTAGAACCTCCTACTAGGCTAACCTTTGCTAAGTCTCTGTTTAATAATATAAATTTTGACTAATACTAGTGCAGTCTCAGCGTAAATTTACTCCAACGCTAAACCTTGTTTATTAATAATACTGAAGTTTGCTTAGTTTAATATACCAGTTAGTGCTTCACTGTGTTTCTTACTAACACATTAATGCGTATCTGAAACCAGAGATTATAATTTTTCGTCATCAATCTTATGGCCTGCCAGGCTAAAGTCGTTTAGGTCCCGTTTCCGTATCGCAGATCGCATTAACTACTGGGCTTTTTCGTTTGTAGGGGAATACTGATTTGTTGTTCTTTTCGGAAATACTGATCCGATCATGAAATTTCTTTCACCTAAAGGAGGTTATAGGCGGATGGCATATGCTATAATATACGCGGGCGAAGTTGCAAGATTAAGCTTGTATATATAATTGTATAACAATAATATCCTTGAATGTTGAATGTTTAAGATATATTTTGTCTTATTTCCTGTTGAGTCTTTTTTGACGATTAGATTAGATTATATTTGATATTAAAATTTAAATGAGTTTTTTTTTCACTTAACCATAAGCATAGATTTATTGGTATTTAAAAATTCACTACATTCCCACTCCTTAATATTTTTATAATGATAACTATAAATATATTCTTATGTAATAACCAGCTTCTTTGTTATAAAATCATCGGATAGTAGGTATTTAATAAACTGATTCGAGGTTAATATTATAGATTCACTAGTTACAACTCCAACACAATTGTAGTGTCAAGGGCACTGCTACCACCTGTGTTTCTCTCCATTCACTCCAAAGAACCGAACTAAATATATATAAATGGAGTATACTGTTATCTACGTACAATCTTCTCATTTGTCATCACGTCTTCTAGCATTTATTATGTAAAAACAATACCTCAAATAAATTTTATGGCCTAATATCCTATTGAGTAGAAGTCCACCGAGGATGGGCATGAATATTGCTTATTGTTGCGAAGCATAATATCAATAGATGCACGTCTCCTGCGCCGCTATATGATTCCGGCACAACAGATCCATAATAAGGTGTTGTTTATTTTATTGATCATTAGCGTTTTCGCGGACGGACGCGCACATGCTGACACGGCGTTATCGATGTGTTGACTAATTGCTTACATTAGTCACGGCGAGGCTGGCACTCGCAACGTGTACGCAAATAGAGTCGGCACAACGATTGACTTAGCGCACGTTGCCCGGTTACCTCGTCCCGTGTCTGTTGAACGCGTTACCTAAACGCGGATTCCAAAGTATATGAAGATTATGTTGATTAGTCGCTCTTTACTGACACAAAAAGACAATTGGTTCCGCAGCGGCAGCGACCGCTTGTTACGTTGTCGCAACTACGCACGTAGTGAGGTCATCGAACAGGTCACGCTACCGACAGACGTGGCCCAATGACCGTCCACGGTGGCTAACGTGGATAAAATGTAAGAAAACCTCGCAGACAGGTTACCGATAAAAGTTATGTATAAATTTAAAAGTCGACAATCATACTTTAATTTATCAGAAACACGTATACTTCATGATGTTACCGTATGTATGATGTCGGCGATACGTCATTATCGTATAGACGTTTATTGATTTATTTATCTTTGAGACGAAGGCTTAAAAAATTGTCTTCCTCGAACTAAATATTGTATCGAGTCGTATCTATTTAACATAAAGTGGCTGAGCATCGATTCATATGCGTATTAAATCAAATTCGTAAATATAAACGCTTTAATCGCTCGTGTTTGCACGTTTCAAATAAAACTCGATAACGACGCTGATAGAACAAAGAAAACCTACTTACAGGCAGAATTAAATTCATAAGGCATTTGTACGATAAGTTGGCGTCGTCTGGTATAGCATTGTGAATGCAAAATTAATCAAATATAATTATACGCATAATATATGTTTGTTTGCAAATTTGTTATTCGAGAATTGAAACCTGTTACGGAGATAATGTAATAGATTATTTAAAGACAGGTTGTAAGGCTCGGAACGTAAGCTTGCGGCATCCATTTGACGTCACCGCGCTTGTTGTCCAACCAAGTATTCGAGATCGAGAACACGCATCGGCTAGCACTCCGCCACCATCCACCGACTAATGTATTTATGTACGATAGTAACAGACGAGATAGATCGCACGCCTGCTCTGACTGTTTTATCGTGTGTTAAATTTACTCCTTTGATGTTTTATTCAAAATTCTAATTATGGTTCTTTTCTCTTGACAGAACTGCCTACGGAAGAAGGTAAGAATACACTGACGATGCTGGATAAGTATACTCGCTACGAAATAAGTATTTACTAATAAGCAAAATTAGTTTATCTTAATATTAATATAATATTGTAATAAACTACTAAATAAAGATTAAGTACAAAAGAGAAACAAACATAAAAAGCCATGTCAAGGTCACAAGTGGCATTTGCTAGCAACAGGTGTAGTAGTATTATGGGAAAATTTTTGTTGATAAGCTTAGTATACTTTATGACACTACATCTGTAATATACACTTTTAAACGAAAAAAAAATCCGCAAAGTCTGATCACTATTGACAAGATTACAATTTAAATAACAGACAAACATGTCATTTATTCTTAACAATTTCAACTTCAATTTGAAAGTTGTTTCTTGAATAACTTAAGTTACATTCTACTCAGAATTGAAGCATATTACTCGAGATAAAATACCTCAAAACGGTTTTCAACTTGAAGTATTTGAACTTCGAACACAGCCCATCCGGCGAAGCATTGACACGCAAACAACTTCAATATGACAATGTTTTAACTAGCTGTGGGTTTTAAAATGTAAGGAATAAATTGTGTGGAGAATTTGAAAATCTAACTTTAGTGCTTTGGATAATATAAACTTTTTTAATGAACCTTATGACGATTGACATAGAATTGATAGAATACATGCTGCAAATATAATATCGTTTAAAACTGAAAAGCAGTAGAATAATAAACACTGTTTTTATTTTATTAATTATACCAATTCGAATTATTATTATTATTAAGTCAGGATGACGTGTTGCGGGTCAGTTAAAGTTATATAAAATAAATACATGGTTAAAAATATTTTGCTTTTTTTAGTTTTTATTCTCCTAGTTTATTATAGACAGTAAGAAAGTACACTTGAAATATGACGTTTAATAACTCAATTTGTTTATTTAAAAACTTTGTATGAATGCGTCATTACTCCGCCTGATGGCTGGTATATAAAAATAAGTCGTTCAAATTAAAAACCCTAAAATGTCATAATATCCTCATGACTTGCAGGTAAAAGTATATGGCAGTTAGTCCTGGAACAATTCGATGACCTTTTAGTGAAGATTTTACTGTTAGCTGCTATTATATCTTTCGTAAGTAATGTGCTCAAATTATTTATTAGAATCTGGAAAACTTTCCATTTTACTAATATAAAACCAATTCGTTTCAGGTCCTTGCGTTATTTGAAGAACATGAAGACGCTTTTTCAGCGTTCGTAGAACCCTTTGTAATTTTATTAATTCTTATTGCTAATGCTGTTGTAGGAGTATGGCAGGTAATGATCATTTAAAAACAATATCTTGTCAACATTTAATGCTTAGAAGTAGAACTCAATAAAGAAACTTTGGTATTTTAGGAAAGAAACGCCGAATCCGCCATCGAAGCTTTAAAAGAATACGAACCCGAAATGGGTAAAGTAATAAGAGGAGATAAATCCGGCGTACAAAAAGTTAGAGCGAAAGAAATCGTTCCCGGGGACGTCGTAGAGGTGTCCGTTGGAGACAAAATTCCCGCCGATATCCGCCTAATCAAAATTTTCTCTACTACCATCCGTATTGACCAGTCCATCTTGACTGGTGAGTCTGTGTCTGTCATTAAGCACACGGACGCCATCCCTGACCCCCGCGCTGTAAATCAGGACAAAAAGAACATCCTTTTCTCTGGTACTAATGTAGCTGCTGGTAAAGCCCGTGGTGTTGTCATTGGCACTGGCCTAAACACTGCCATTGGTAAAATCCGTACCGAAATGTCTGAGACTGAGGAGATTAAGACACCGTTGCAACAAAAACTCGATGAGTTCGGAGAGCAATTGTCTAAAGTTATCTCTGTTATCTGCGTTGCCGTATGGGCTATTAACATTGGACATTTCAACGATCCTGCCCATGGAGGAAGCTGGATCAAGGGCGCCGTATACTATTTCAAAATTGCCGTCGCTTTGGCCGTCGCCGCCATTCCTGAAGGTCTACCGGCTGTCATCACTACTTGTCTCGCTTTGGGTACCAGAAGAATGGCCAAGAAGAACGCTATTGTCAGGTCCCTGCCTTCAGTAGAAACCCTCGGTTGCACATCTGTCATTTGCTCCGACAAGACTGGTACACTCACCACTAACCAAATGTCTGTCTCTCGTATGTTCATCTTCGAAAAAATTGAGGGAGGCGACAGCAGTTTCCTTGAATTTGAAATCACTGGTTCCACTTACGAACCCATCGGAGATGTTTACTTGAAAGGACAAAAGGTTAAGGCTTCTGAATTCGATGCGCTCCAAGAATTAGGCACTATCTGCATCATGTGCAATGACTCTGCTATTGACTTCAACGAATTCAAACAAGCCTTCGAGAAGGTCGGTGAGGCCACTGAAACAGCTCTTATTGTACTTGCTGAGAAGATGAACCCCTTCAATGTCCCTAAGACCGGCCTCGACCGCCGCTCATCTGCCATTGTCGTCCGTCAAGAAATTGAAACCAAATGGAAGAAAGAGTTCACACTTGAATTCTCTCGTGACAGGAAATCTATGTCCTCCTACTGTACACCTCTCAAACCTTCCCGTCTCGGCACTGGACCTAAACTGTTCGTCAAGGGTGCACCTGAAGGTGTATTGGAACGTTGCAGCCACGCACGTGTCGGAACAAGTAAAGTACCTCTTAACTCTACACTTAAGAATCGCATCTTGGATCTCACCCGCCAGTATGGTACCGGTCGCGACACCCTGCGTTGCTTGGCCTTAGCTACTGCTGACAACCCGATGAAACCTGATGAAATGGACCTTGGAGACTCAACCAAATTCTACACTTATGAAGTCAACCTAACTTTCGTTGGTGTCGTAGGCATGTTGGACCCTCCCCGTAAAGAAGTTTTCGACTCGATTGTTCGTTGCCGCGCTGCCGGTATCCGCGTAATTGTCATCACTGGCGACAACAAGGCCACAGCTGAAGCCATCTGCAGGTAAAATACGATTATTGCGTTACGGATTCATTTTCTACATTTGTTTAGACTATCACTCAAAAATAACAAATTTTACAGGCGGATTGGCGTGTTCGGCGAGGATGAGGACACAACTGGCAAGTCCTATTCTGGTCGCGAGTTCGATGACCTTCCCGTATCAGAACAACGTGCTGCTTGCGCCAAGGCTCGTCTGTTCTCCCGCGTGGAGCCCGCTCACAAGTCTAAGATTGTTGAATACTTACAAAGCATGAACGAAATCTCCGCTATGGTTAGTTAATTGAAACTTTTACAACTACCCTAACTACCTTAATCAATACTTAATGTTAAATTAATGTTATTACCTACAATAGATATATTGTTTGTCACCACATATTATAACATAAATTCCCTCGTCGTGTCTTCTGTCTTCTTAAACACTAAACATAAAACTACTGAACAAATTTTTTACGTCGTTTCACCAATAGACAGAAATATATACGGGAAATTAAGCTCTGCGTAAATAGACTAGTCTAAAAAAATAAATTCAAGCAAGATGCCTTCCCTTAATTTGCTTGTAAAAATTGCAAAATACATATAACATTAAATTCAATTGACCATCGTATTATTATTTACATACATGATTCAATACTCATAGGTTGTTTACACACTGATTACCGGGCGAGCTTTAATGTTTACCTTCAGTTCCTGATGTTTATAAACACCACCGATTCGTTTATTTACTATAACTGTACTACGCAAAGGGCACTTTGTAATGCTGCCGTGACGTTTCAGACTGGTGACGGTGTGAATGACGCGCCCGCTCTGAAGAAGGCCGAGATCGGTATCGCTATGGGCTCAGGTACCGCTGTAGCTAAGTCCGCTGCCGAGATGGTGCTCGCTGACGACAACTTCTCATCCATTGTAGCTGCCGTTGAGGAAGGTATGTATCTTATATGGTTTTTTTATCTACTTGTCAGAGGGTTAGAGTAAATAGTGTGAATACGATTAACAAATGGAAAACTTTATAAACCTGAAAATCCCCTGCATCTATATCCCTCATCCGTTTATGAATGATTATTGTCGAAGCAAAATATAAAAACACTAACTGTTGTAAATTATAGTCTATGTCAACCCCGTAGGTGAACGAAATTTAAAAATTGGTCCAGTAGTTTCAGAGTTAATTTGATACAAACAAACAATCAAATCTGCTCTTTATAATATACTCGTAGATTCAATAGAACTGATATCTTTGTTCTCTTTTTTTAAATTGGTTAAATATGAGGATAATTATTGCTTCTGGGCATGCATTTGGGAGGCTTGCAAGATGATGTATGTTGTGCAGTTTCAAATTTTTGAAGAAAGTTTAGAAGATGCTAAATATTTTGTAGTAAGCTTAACATTATATTCCACTGCAAAATAAACCATCTCTATAACAATAATGAAAACTCGATCAGGTCGCGCCATCTACAACAACATGAAGCAGTTCATTCGTTACCTGATCTCTTCAAACATCGGTGAGGTGGTCTCCATCTTCTTGACGGCTGCCTTGGGTCTTCCCGAAGCCCTGATCCCTGTACAGCTTCTGTGGGTCAACTTGGTAACAGACGGTCTGCCCGCCACCGCCCTCGGCTTCAATCCCCCCGATCTCGACATCATGGACAAACCACCCCGCAAGGCTGATGAAGGTCTCATCTCTGGATGGCTGTTCTTCAGGTAATTCAAAACATATTTCTTGTCTAGTTCATAGTTACGAAAATTCATGTCACGCAATAAGTACCTAATCAAAGTATTGTTTTACAAATGGTTAGATCTCATGACAACAATCATTTCTATTCGTCGACTTTATTTTCATGAATAGGGAAAGTTTATACCCTAAATGAGGACATTAACGCCAGTGTGATATGATACATCAATTTATGTCACGTCGGAAAATTTAAATATATGATGATGATCTTGACTCGTCAAGCCAGTTATCAAATATTTTTTTCAATTTCACTAAAAATTTGTATTTTTACCAAAATACATACGACTGACACGCTTTAAAAATACAAAGATATTATTATCTTAACTATTGTTGCCAACCGAGAACAAAAGCCTTCATTATATATCTCATAAATGAAAAGATGTTAATTTCACCACAAGTACGTTATTATTAAAATACAATTTATTAAAATCAAGAAATAATATCATAATCAATTACCAAGTCACAACATCGAAAATCAATAATGTTCATACCAGTTATCTAGCTACTAAGCTAACGTCAATATAATTAGTGGTTGCACTTTCATCATAATGAAAAATCAACAATTTCGTAATTAATAAATGAATTAATATAATATTGTGTCTTGTGGTTAAAATAGTATAAAAACAATTTTAAATTAGCTACTTTTTAAGGATGCCCCCTCACTCCTTTCACTTTTAAAATAAGAAAGTGAAAAATCTAAAATAAATATGTGCTGTCGATCTCCATGCACGCTTAATGAAGATTTTTATATAATGATTGTATAGTATAGCAGTTTTTGTAAAATTCCAAACCCGAATTCGAATTCACTTAGGTGTCCAAATTCAATTCAAAAAGCGGCATCAGCACAACTTTGAATTGGTGATAACTTTTCATGGCATAAGTGAAGTGAGTTTCGAAATGACATAGAAATAGAATGTCTGAGACACGTATCAATAAATTTTGTTTTGTATTTTTATACAAAAAATGGAATCGGTAGAATTTCTTCACTAAATGATCTGAGTTTGGACACATAAGTGAGTTCGAAAAACGGGCTGGATTTTCACAGAATCACAGGCCTGATTTTAGTTTTTTTAATGATCAGTTGATAGAAGTTTGACAAAAACTACGACTTTTCGCCTTGCGAAAATAAAAAAAATTAAGTTATTGAGAACAATCAATTGAGATTTTGTACTTTTCTCAATTGATAGAATTCGTTATTTAATCGATCGGTATCAAAGAAAAAGTATTACTTTGAAATGTTTCATGAGCGAGTCCAATTCACACTTGGCCAGTTTTCTTTAATGTATTGTCACTGGACAGGTACATGGCCATCGGTGGTTACGTAGGCGCCGCTACAGTAGGCGCTGCCTCCTGGTGGTTCATGTACTCACCGTACGGACCGCAGATGACGTACTGGCAACTCACGCATCACTTGCAGTGCCTCGGTGGCGGAGACGAGTTCAAGGTAAAACTGACCTTTATGTTGTCATATCAAAAAAACTTACGATCTCAATGACCTTGATAGTAGAGTAACTACCAAGTTTCAATATAATGAAATAGTTTCTTTTTTTTCATTATAGTCTTAGGTTTGAAGAAACGGTTAACAGCAAATTAGGTTACTGCAAAAAGCAAATTTTCTCCAAGCTGTTGAGTCTTTTTATGTTGATTTTACGTTCAAGATTAATTAAACCTTTATCGTTTCTAATTTTCGTAACACAATAACTAATTACTATATCTCAGTAATTTATGTGATATTTAATAGTAATTATAAGAAAAGTTGTGATAAAAAATTAATAATATATATTTCTATGTTGCTTATACTTTTTAATAACAAAGAAATTACATTATTTCCTATTAGAGCAGATAAATAATGATAATATTGAATTATTAAATAAAGATACAATCTTAAGTACAAAAGTTGGATATTTAATTGAAAGAGAAGTTAAATCTTTTTGCCCCATCACAGCCAAAGGTGAACTTAAACATACTTAAATGTTCTCTTACAACAAGTAAGATGATACATTATTGGATAAATAATTTCCAGATGATCCAGATGAAACATTAAGAAAAAATATGACTTGCAATGATTAGTATATTCGGCCATATGCCAAATACCGAATACTCGGCCTAGCTTCCTGGCTTAGGAACCGAATATTAGGTATAAGTATTCGACCGTTATTTGTATTCACGTAATTGTTTCGCTTATTTTAATAATTCAGGTAATGCACAGGAAAAATTGCATTCTGTCCATATACATGGTACCAAGCAACAAAATATAAATTTCTGTTTTTGATCATGTACAGTTATGGCAAAAAAATTATTTGCGCCAGGTAGTAGTGTTTATTCAGAGCGTCTTTTCTCTGAACACTTTCTTTTGTTTTACCAATTATCTAATTAAAAAAAAGTATATTAGGTACTTAAGTATTCGGCCGAATATAACAAAGTAAATATTCGTTGCAAATATAAATATACATACTTAAACAAACACATAACAGCTGTGGTACGACCACGAGAAGCGTAATACGCAAAATCTATACATATATTTAATAAATGTTCCAGGGCATCGACTGCAAGATCTTCACTGACCCTCACCCTATGACGATGGCGCTCTCTGTGCTGGTGACGATCGAGATGTTGAACGCTATGAACAGTTTATCTGAGAACCAGTCGCTGGTGTCGATGCCGCCGTGGTCCAACATGTGGCTCATCGGCTCCATGGCTTTGTCGTTCACACTTCACTTCGTCATTCTATACGTCGAGGTCCTCTCGGTATGTAATGTGCAAATTTTAATTTTATAGTGATAATGAAGCGTTTGTTTTGTCAATACACAACACGACACAGTATATAACAAACGAGACAACATTCTTAAAAAAAAATGCTTAAAAATCCACTTGTTCCCTGCCACCCTTAAATGGGATTCGAACCCATGACCTTTCGCAATCCAAGCGAATGCTCTAATCACTGAGCTACCCAGGACCTAAAAGGACTGACGAATCTTTCAAGCACTTGTAACTTTATCTCTACTACGTTCTGTATTCTCATCAATGTTCAGGCAATCCACCCAAACAGCTGGAAGATTTTTTTTTTACAGATATTTAAACATTCGATAAAGCTGAAAATTTGTTCTAATTATTATATTTGATCAATTTCGCATTCACAATGCTATGCTGAGAAATAGACTTTATGATAAATGCTTAAAAAAAGTAGAAGACAACAGTTAAGTATATAAAGAAATTAAAAGTGTAAAGTTGTATGCGATCAAAACTGGCCTCGATCCTGGCATTTCTAGCGTATGTTCAGTATTTAAAACTGAACACTTATAGGATCATTTGTATACTGTCTGTCCATCCGTCCCTTACAGTTAAGTTGCTGATATTTCGAATACTTGTGTAAGAAAGATGGAATTTAACTTTATTGTAAACTGGTTTTTTGAGAAAGTTTCTTAATCTTAATAATCTACCTTTACTTTTCATGATTTTGAATTAACTCCCTATTTACTGTTGATTCGTGTCACCTTTCAAGAATACTATTTGTCTTATAGCTTTAATTATCAATTTAAAACGCTATTCATTTTCGTATACTATTTTTCCCTTGTATTTACATAAGTACTTTAAGAAATTTTTAAACTAACTAAACCAGGCACGCTCTGCTGTAACTGTCTCTATGAAGTTGAGAATAAAACAAACATAACCTTTGTTGAAATCTGGAGTGGATAACCTAACCGTATGGGGATTCGTACCAACTTGCTTCAACCCACATTTAATTTCTATGAGTCAAGGTTTTATTGAACACTGCCATCAAGAGTTTATATTAATTTCACTGCATTTTTGAAATATTTGAAGAAAAATAATAAAGAGTCCTAATCTTTAGTCTTTAAACTGACTACATTTTAAAATTAATAACCTCCATTTGCTGAGTTAACAAAGATTCATCACATCACCAGCCCTTTTGCATCCCTACTGCAAAGAAGCACTGACTTCTTTAAGGATGATTAACAATAGTTATAACCATATTTTTGGTACAATGTTTCCAGGTGGTGTTCCAAGTGACGCCGCTGTCTGTGGACGAGTGGGTGACGGTGATGAAGTTCTCGATACCAGTGGTGCTGCTGGACGAGGTGTTGAAGTTCGTCGCGCGCAAGATCTCCGACGGTGAGAGGAACTGGCTCGACGGCATGCAATGGATTGTGCTCATGTGGGCCGTATTTTTCGGCATCATCATCTACGGACCTCTCTAAGCGGCCCAGTGCTCACCCATTTTGTTCACACCTCTAATTACCCCCCATCATACCTGAATTCCGCGTTACCCACGCGATTGTATCAACGCGTGGGTAGCGTGAATTCTGCCGTGGAAAACAAATAGACTGTGAGCGTGTGCTCACCACGGCGCATTAACCTGAACGGAATGCTAATCCGGCGCACGCACGGTGTGAAGTGACCCTAGTGCACGGTGACGGACGGGCCGCGGTACTTCCCCGAAAACTCGTGTGATTCCGTCTTTATTTATACGTGCGAGACAATAATTGGGAGCTCGTTTCTTATTATACGGAACTGTATTGTTTTTTAAGGAGGACGCATAATTTTTCATTTCTCTTTATATTTACTCGTAGCTAGAGATGAAGAGGCTGTGAAGAGCTTCATTGTATAGTGCTAATTTGTAACACCAAAAATTGGTTTAATATTAACGTTTTAAAATTGGTAAATAATTGTAATATTTCTTTTACGTGTGATTACAGATTTTGTATAAATACGATAGTGCTTGGAACTCCATTTTTAAGAATATCATTTTTATGGACTCGCACTCGGCTCAGTACCTTGTCCTTATGGACAGCAGACATATAAAAATTTACTATATTATAGTAATGTGCATTGTTAGTGCTTAGTGTAATTTATTGTAAGTATATTGTTAGGGAACGGTTACAATTATTTTGCTCGGCAAACCTCTCAGTAGGAAAATAAACCCGCTCTGTCCTTTCACCTGTGACTGCTTGTTAACATTCCTTTTTGCATTTCTATTTCAACTTGAATTATATGAAGCAACCACTTTATAATGATACCTACCTGTTTTTTTCTCTCTAACAGCGATTTCATGCTATATTAACATAATGAGGATGATGGAAGATTTTTCTATTGTATTTGTGATATAATTTGATTACAACGAAAGCTATTCAATTATTCTTTTACAAATCGTCCAATGTATTTCTTATGTGAAAAGAGTTACAGGTTTCTATAAAGCAATATAGTCAATGTATGTATGAATGGTATAATGTGTTTATTTGGAATTGTTAAATTGGTTCTTGAATAAGTTTTCTATTTATCTTTGATTGGATACACTGTCAGTAATGCTTATTATTGAGACATAATATTACAGTAAGTTTAAGAAAACTAGTTTCGAAATAGATACCTATTTTTTCGTTATGGTATACAAGGATTGTACTTCCATACTATGATTAATTTTATTTGCATGTGTTTTGTACATTGCATGTTTTAATTTAAGAGTGCAGTTTGGTTTGGTATATAACTAAAAATAATAATCTCTAAAATATATTGTCGTATATTTATTATATTGTGTACTACTACATTGTAAGACCGTCAACATTGACCGATATGCAAAGTAAGACAACCACCACACACTGCACAATGAAGGGCATGCTCAAATTCCTACATTACTTTTATCCCCAACCTTTTCCAACTGTTAATATAATGAAATAACTTATTTAAATGTACAGACGTTTATCTTGTACAAACAAAATATGTATTTTACATTAATTAAAAATATCAAGAATTAAAAACTCGCAATTGTTTTTTCTTGCAACCACCTTCATTAGAGCCCTGTAACCTATCGTTTCTCTACATCGGACATCGGATACACGACCCCGCGTGCACACTACCCACCATGTAAACAGACTACTCTAGTGTTATTGTTTGTTTCCTGCTAACCGATCTTGTTAACATCGCTAAAGTTTTGCAAGCTTTTCAAAACGCTATTTGGCTACATTAAAGTAAGACGATCTTTTTGTCAAAAAAAAATCGCTTCACTCTATATTAAATTGGCTACTTGACTGTTTTCTATTTTAAAACTGATATTAAAATATTACTGTACGATTTATTTTTCTTGAAGTCTTATTAAACAAAGGAAAAGCATATTTTTACACAAATTGACCCGCGAATCAGTCATTACGTGACATTTTGTACCGTGACGTCACATTTCAATAAACATAGTCAATGAACGTCACATGATGCGCATTTCGGTTATTGTTATCCACATTGTAAATCACGAGTAAATGCAAAATATATTGTAATTTATTTCATAACAAAACATTATTGTTATTTAAGTTATCGTTTATAATATTTCATAATTTGTTGTTATAATCGTCAAATAGCCAAATGGAATGAAAAAAAAATTGATACCGACAAGTCTTTAAATAATTGCAAAACTTAGTCCCGTCGTCCCCCTCGCGCCCTGTCCCCGCATGGCAGGTACGGCCATGTGCCCGCATGCACTAACGTGTATATGTCTGCCCCCAGCCAAGCCGACGTGGAAGCTGTAAGCGGCGGGACCCCACCGCAGCGCCACTGCACGCACATATTCCATGAACACTCATTGTTTGTTGTGATCCCGCAGTGAAACTACACATGTAACTACGACACGGTTGTGATCTCTGCATATGAACTCTCAGTAAGTTCGGACGGCCGCCCCCGCACGAGCGATCCGACACTAACGCTCCCGTTGTTTTGCAGCGAACGAGGTTGTCATTGACAAGTGGTAATCGCCACCGAGTCATTGTAGTTCCTCGCCCGCTTCTCTGCTACTTCTACCGATCTCGTCTCCGTTAGTAAAACCGAATGGAATTTAGACAGTGTACTTGATATAATCCGCGCGTTGCTAGAGTAGCGTAGGCCGGCGCTGCTATAGTTAGCAGCGCGGCCGCTAGTGCTAGAGCTGAAGGTACGCGCGATGGAGATATGGAGCCGCGAGAGGTCGCCGCAGCGGAAGCGGAACGGGCGCCGACCCCGTCACCTGCTCACCTGTGCTAGTTCATCAGAGAGGACTTAACTTGTTCATAATGTGTATATACTACAGTATGCTTAGGAGGTTTAATCATTGTTAAATTACATTGTTCTAATAAAGACTACATGGTGCCCGTCGACAAAAGCAGTGCGGTAGACGATGTGTACTTAAGTTGACAGCACTTTAAGTTAAATTTATTTTATATTTTTATTCTCTTTTTAATCTAGTTTGCTTATATAGCGCCGAGTCAATTTCTTCTATTAGTGCTGACGCCTCGACGAGCAATATGGTGTCTGTAATGTAAGGGAAGGATAAATATAATTGTCCAGTGTTTGGGACGTAATTGAGTCCAAAAATTTAAACATACCTGTACATTTTAATGTATTATTGTTTTGTACAATAAACCGTTATAAAACGAAAATAGTTTGATTCATCTATCTGATCATCATTAAATACCTAATAGACAGCATACTAACTACTACAGAAGACCAATATTCTCCGATCTATTTTAAGCTTAAATATGTCGTTAATTAATTTCTAAATTTATTGCTATGGAGTTTTGTATAGTAACTTATGTGCTGCTATATGCATGTATTAAGGAAAATAATGTAGGTAGGTAATTGAATTCTAGACTCGATAAGTCCCAATATAATTTGTCAGTCTGTTACAAAATAGATACAATATGTCAGACAAGCAGCGCAATAAAAGTTTATCTTACAAAGAGTAGATAGGTGTAACATTAAGAACGGTTAGTATTGGAAAGTGAAACTTAATGACACAAATATCTGTGCTTAGATCAGATTGCAATCACTAAAAGTTATAGGTAGCACTTTATGGAAAATTATGTAACTATTAGTCTCAATCGCGTTTGGAACGAAAGATGAAAGATCAAGAAACTGTAAAACTTAGTTAATCCCGTTAAACTTCTTCATTTGACAATTCTTAATAGCTTTTAAGTCCCATCCAATTCTAATCAAATCAAAAATATAACATGTAACAAAAATGCACTAGTCTCGCAACACAATTATTCTACAGTAGAAAGCTAAGAAATCAACGCAAGATTAGGTTTTGCTTGAGATTAGGTGTAAAATTGAAATATAACAAAATTCTTATAAACACACCTTTTCTTGGTGAAACATTTCATTGTAAAAGTAACCGCCAATACAACTATTCAGACTCAATATTTATGCAAGTAAGCACTTTATACCTAACATTTGAAATATTAATTCTGTACGAAAAATGCTACCAACTCGTGCTCAATAACCAGAAATACCATTTATGTAAAATAATATATTTATCCAATTTTTAGTGACAAAAATAAAAGTTAACTTTACCATTCATTACATTTTGTTAACCAAACGGATATAGAAGAAACTCTGTAAAGATTTGTAACCAATATTAAGAAAGATGAAGCTGATTGGAAAATGAAGGAATATTGTAAGCGCAAGCTTGAATTACTTGGAAATTATTGCAGTGATTACCAGCGAAATCACACATAAATGTGTGAACTAGTGGAATTTGACCATGTATATTTTACCAAACATTGCTTTGAAACAGCGGAAGTAAACTATAATAGTACATTACGATATTAATGCGTTATGATAGTTATAACATGCGAGGCGGAATTTCAGCCCGAGCCGAAGGCGAGGGCGAAATTGAGCCGAGCGTGTTATAACCAATACGCACGTATATCGTACGACGGTTTTAACACATTTGCGAGGAAACAGAAAAAAAAAATCATATTTTGTTCATTTTGAATTATTAAAACAGTTAGTGAAATTACAATTATTAAAATGATACATAGTTGTAGTTGGTTTTTTAATTATGTTATTATTATTATTACTATTCATAATGTCATTGTTTTGTGTTAGGGTAAATGTTGGAGATGACGAAACTTCTTGAAAGGCGGCAGAAGAGCATTGTAATTCGTCATTAGTTGTAAATGAAAAAATATTATCAGTAGAAGTAGAGGGGCGTGACTCAGGGCAAAACTTCTTCGTTTGTGGCTCCAAATTTATTGCCTGAGTTATTTTGGCACTTATATTTGCTTTGTTTTGGATGGACTCTTCTACATAAGGTTCTGCTACTGCGTTAGAACGCCACCGCCGCCGCTTTAAAGTCAATATATCAGCGCCCGAATCAGCAAGTAATGTAGCTGACGTTCTTCTGAAACTGTGCCCTGTATAACAATCAGCATCAGGCAATCCTAAAAACTTGGCGACTTCCTTTGGCATGGCACCGAATTTATTTATGCCAATAGGTTGCGCAGTACATTTACCTTTTTGGTAATTCTGAAAGAAATGATTATTTTTTGCCTTAGTTGTACGCAGAGCTTCATATTTTTTTACCACATCATAAAATGGGCCGTCGATAATAAAAGATCGGGGTATTTTGTTTTTAGTGTTTGATATTTTAACTAAAAGTATTTTGCCTTGATTTTCAATGTCATTTGTGGTAATATTGTGAAGCTCTTGCCGTCTACATGCACCATTAATACCAAATATTAACGCAACCTGAAAAGAAATAAAAATGTGTTAGATAAGGTATAGGTACTCAGCTTACAGACGGTCGTTAAAAAATATGTAAAAGAGTATGTACAGTAAGTAGATTAATACATAAAATAAGGAGGCAAACTAACCTTTGTAGCCAGGTACTGGCTATCTGGAGCATCTCTTAGAAACTTTTCGACGTCATTTGATGATAGTACCTTAGATTTTTTCTTTATAAAACCATCAGAGCGTCTCTTTAAAAATGCAATGAGATTTGAATATAAATTAATATCGACACCATTTTTCATCTTAAGGGTACTTTTCAGCATAGAATATGTTGTCCACAACGAGCTAGGCTTATATATACTAGCTAGTTCATTAAAATACGCCAAAACTACATTTTTGGAAAATGACTTGACCTTTTTCATGTTTTTCCACTTCAAGAAATTTTCATACGTGGTTATGTATCTGTCTTTGGATATTGACGGCAGCAAGCTGTCGCATGCGGTTCGCGCTTCTGTTAGTATATCCGGTGGAGTTGAAGTAATATATTGCTCTTCTTCATTATTGAAAGTTGTCATTTTTAGATATGCACAATACAAGTACAAAGGCAGAAAATTTGAGAAAAATGGCGCGAGGATTATTTTCTGCTATAGCTACGTGAAAATGTTGGCAAAGACATTAGAGCATGCAGCCAAGTTTTTAAATTACCGAATAAACAGATTTTTTTTATTTTAAATTAACTCAATCTGTGAATGTACACTATTGCTTTCCCGCCATTTTAACAGCGCGTTAGCGCTGCCTACTGACTGGCGCCGCGCGGTGATTAGTTTGAAATTTGAATAGCAACAGCGCGCGAAATGGCAAATAATACTGTTATAGAATTTGGATGGACTATAACTTAACTATTTACTTTGGTAACACACGCATTTTTATGACCCGCTTTTCATATTTAAAACCGGTTGAATTACACCAGCTTTACGAGCAAAGGTGTTAAAAAATATCTTGTTAATTATATTTTAGAAGAAATGATTTCAAAGAAGCAGTAAGGTGGACGGACCGAGCCGGTGCAGCAAAACGTTACTTCTCGAAAACCGGCAGTAGAGGTTCTATACCAACCAACGAGTGCTGAATCGTTAGTGGTCTCGAACAACCGTCAACCATATTGATATGTCTAACAATACTAAGTTAGACTAAATTATTAAGAAGCAAACCATTAATTTTAAAGCGTAAATGCTTTACAGTAAGCACTATAATAATAGAAAGTTAAAATTTTGTTGCGAATTCGAAGATGCTCTCAGATTGCTTCTGACTCGCTGGCTAACTTACATTGAGAAAGAGAAGGTGAAACTGAGGACTACGAAATCGTCTATTAAGAATTCGTAAATGGATGTTCCGATGTTAAGCGAAAACTATGAAGTGGTTTGGGAATTTCTAAATCATCGTTATGGAAACAAACGTTTGATATTGATCTCGCATCTAAACACTTTATTGTGAAGAATAAAAAATCGTTGTTATGCCTCACTCTACATAGATAGGTATAGTGTGTCGCGGACTTTTTTCTAGATATTTATAAGATCTACAATTAATTAGAACATTTTATGGTTCTCTCTATTATAGTTTAGGCAGCGTACGCAAAATAAGTAACTTTTCTGGTTGATTTTTTACACCTTGTGTCCGAAAAACCCAAATATCTTACGAAACCCTATTTTTTCCAAAATAAAATTTTATAAGCCTATTCATTGCAATTAAACAAACAAACATACAAATAAAGTTTTCCTATTTATAATTTATAAACAAATATTTCTGAAAAATAATCATTTTGTTGCCTTACAATGTGAGAAAGTATTAAAAAAATAAAGAAACTACAATATTTTATGTCAATAGATGGCAGCACAAATTGTAAGATTTAAATGTCAATGAGGAAGTATATAAAAAAATAGTTCTCGAAATCAATCTAGATGTCAATAAAGTACTTTCTTGATTTCTCCATTACAACCCTTACATTTAATATAATATTATAATATGATGTTTTTTATTTATTTGCCTTTAAATGAGGTACATCATAGGTAGAAATACCTTCCGGTTTTCTTTCATGTATAAAAGTAAATTAGTTTTCAAAACTGAATAAACAACTCTACAAAGTATTTGTAATTGTAGCATGTAGCGTGCATTTAGTAAGAAACGGTTAATTTGTATTTTAGCCTAATACAAATACCAACTTTCAGCATGGAGATCAAACATTAAAACATAACAGCTGTTTTTTTAATTATGAGGGTATCATATATTTACTTTTTAATATATGAATTAATCCATCGACATTTTCTGTCGGATTATAAGTAAAAAAAAATAAAATTTCTTTAATTTCTCAATAGCATGATAAGCAAAATACATATAAAGTGACTTCTACGTATTTTCACGCTGTTACTTATTGTTGGAAAGCAATGCGAACATCACTGTAAAAGTAAATATAGTTTATGGTTTAACTCTAGGAGTCTATGGAATCTTCGAGAACTGTGTTCGAGATTAAGATGGCGTCTTGTGAATAAATGTGGTTGCGTTGTAATTTTAATAAAAGGTTTTTCTATAAAACATTTTTCTTTGCTTTGGTTCCAAAATATAACCCAATACTTATGTTACTTCCATGAAATACATAAATATTCCTAATATTATATTTTTATAGAAAACAAGGTCAATTAATATAAAAAAAATATTTGTGAAAAAACGATAATATTAACAATGAAATACGACTTCAATCGATATTACTATATTGCGTTAAATATATTTTGTTTTGTATCCAATGAAAATTTCCATGGGAATATTGCATACCAATAGCCTTATAATTATTTATGATGCAGGGTTGATCTTGAAACCCGACTACTGAAAAGGTTATTGGTTAGATACAATATAATTCGCGATAGATGTTATTGTCCTAACACAAAACATTCATTACATAACTTATATAATTTTTTTCATGACTATAATATGACTACAACTTAAAAAAATAAAATTTAAGAAAATCACTATTTCCTCTAATTTTTTGGTTCGATTTCAGTAATTTTCATTGTCGCTATGAAAAATAAAAACAAAATTTGTGAAAAAATTCGTGTTAGTAATTTTTCGTGAAGGGAATGAATGTTTTTTCACTTGATGTTTTGTTTATACCTTCCATAGCTAAAATGAGATGGATTCTTAAATATAGTCTCTTGTAATTGGCTCACAAACTTTTATTAATTAATAATATTCCAGGCTTATATCGAATTATTTCCGTTTTTCTCGCATATGTACCAGGCCATTTGTTTTAATAAAACTGTAAGATCCGTTCATTCATTCATTCATCGGGAGATCCCAGACCAGAGTAAAGTTACCCATTTGTTCATGCGAGTATTCCAGGGTTGCCATAATAAGCAATAGAAAATCTACTAAGGGTTGCTGAGTCATCGAAGTAGGTAGGTAATATACTAACGTTTTAACTATTCCTATTTCTTAAGTTTTAAGAAATAATCGACTGTTAATTTCCGATTAGGAAGTCAAAATCGATAGTAATTGATTATTATAAAAATTATATAATCGGTTAATGGTCATCGATTCCGCACATCACTATTCACTGTGGTCACTGGTCTGTCATAACGTCATAAACTAGTTCTCTTATCGGTCTGCATAATTATCCTTTGCCTTCCCTTCCCTTGTAGGTATGGGAAAATAGAACCAAAAAAATAAACCTTATTGTCTGTGGTCATAACACACGACACATGTTAATTCCAAGATTTGGCTGTATGGCTTAGTTCCTTCGCCTGTCCCATGGACGAATTATAATACTACTACGACCAAAGATTACAATATTATACTGGTAATAGATAGCAAACTCAAACTTTAAATAGGTCACGATTACAGCGCCATCTATCCGCCAGCTAAAAAAAGTCGCACGTATGTGTGCGTGTATATGTGTGTAGCCAGCTACCACACTATCTTGATGGTGAAAGGTTTATTTGATCAGTTTTTTTTTTTGATAAGATAAATAGGTATATTTTTTCTTTTATATAGATTGATTCTAAAAATGTTTAATAGTTATTATTCATTTTGAGAATCAATACATATATAAAAAAAGCAAATGTACCTTTATAACTTATCGAAAAAAAAAACACTTGGCTAATTAAACCTTAAATATAAACATAATGTACCTAAGACCGCAGATTATTTTTCGTTTTATTTGTTATGATTAAACAAGTATATCAGGAGTCATATTTATATGGTTTATGTTCAATGCTAACTATTATAAATGTTTAGAGCGAGTAAAATAAATCAATTAGTTTATTTCAATGAAACACTTGTTATTTTTGTAGCTTTATTAACCATCTTATTTCAGACATTCATCAGTGATCCACACACAGTTTTTCTCTTCCTACCTTTATTTTTTGAAAAATGGTTATGAGCCTTTACCTTCATTTCATCATTTCTATCCCAAAATGAAATTTTGCCATTGATTAAATCATTGATATTTTTGCACCAATTATTAATAAAAAATACTGCACATTTTTCTGTTATGAATTCTTTTAGTTGAATTTGGTGTTCTGTGCATTGTAAAAAATTTAAATATAAATTAATCTTTATGATTAACTCTATATATGTCAAAATATTTTTTTTATTGCAATTTTCTTTTAAAACTTCTATTGTTTTCAGCATTGGCAACATAGTAAAATAGGTTTCGGGTAGGATACCACAACCAGCTTTTGTTTTCAAACTCTTTTAAAATTATATAAGAATGAAATATCTGCTTTTCTTTAGCTTCTATGTTGTTTTTACATAATAAACAGTTTATATAAAAAAAATTCTTTGCTAATTGTGCTATCCAGCCACTACAGTATCCAATTGCTGCGGATTTTTCTACTTATTAAACTTTCTGTATTGATTAAATCAATGCATAAATGAGCATTTTCAATTTCAACTTCACATTCAGTGGGTATATCATCTACGTCTTTAGTCAATAGTTCTTTTAGTGTTTGCAGATAAATGCTATCATCCATTTCGCAATTTGATCCCACTGAATGTGAAGAAGAAATATTGTCAATAAGCAATGTTTTAAAGGCTCCCTAATTTATGATGAGGCGATGTTGGTGTCACTGCTGTCCTATACATTTTCCCCACTTTTGGTTTGCTAAAGCTGCCATTGACACTGTCGAATAAGTCATCAAAAAACATCAACATGTCTGCAGTTTCAGTGCATTCTTTTTCAAGAACTCCAAACTCTGCAATGAAAATATAATGTTTGTTTAGGTTTGTAATGGAAAATATAAGTTTTTAGTATGTATGTACTATGTATACCAGAAATTTTTTCTATAATAAATCTGCTCTCAAATATATAATAAAACATATGGACTCTAAAATTTCATAAAAATAATAATCATCATCATCATCATCATCAGCCCTTTTACGTCCCCACTGCAGGGGCTCAGGCTTTCCTTGTGGATGGTTAAGGAGGATGGGCCAAGAACCTCCACGCTGGCCCAATGCGGATTGGAGTGAATTGACGACTGTAAATGCAGCCGGGACCAACGGCTTAACGTGCCTTCCGAAGCATGGAGTAGCTCGAGATAATAATTTTTTGGTCACCCATCCCATGACCGACCCTTGCGAAAGTTGCTTAACGACAACATTCGCGGGCCGAGGCGCTTATCTACTACGCCACCAAGCTACTCTCATAATAATATTTAAAAATATCACCTGTCATTACTCCAATAGCAGCTCCAACAGTTTAACACCTAAGTGAAGTGTTTCACTCTCATTTTTAGGAATAAATATAGCACTACATGATGAGCTGTCAACTTAGGTGCCATCTTCACTCCTTTGTAGCCTGGGCATCTTTCATATAATTGTAGAATGTGATTCCACTTAGCAGTACATTCCTTTCCATTCATGTTGCAATATTTGATGTAGTTTGGTCACATACTGCTGCTACCACCGTAAGACCAGTTTCTGCAATTTTAATAATCATATTCTTTATTAAAGCTTTAAGCTCCAAAGCTTTAAGCTTTAAGTTCTTGTATTGCCACTGCAAAAATAATAGGCCAGTGGCTGTTTATATTTTTTAACAATGCCTCTAATTAAGAAAACAAGTACATGGTTACTGTACTATTTGCTTCATTGCTCCATTATCAACAAATCCTGTGATATTTTTTTTTTTTATTATTAAAGCTGATGCTTGGTGCTATTGCCATTTCGTCAAATACCAAGGTGCAGTATTTAAATTTATCTGGCATTCTCCTAACTCTGGATTTTTAGGTTGTCAAATAAAATTTCATTTATGCCTGCCTTTAACTGGACTTTATACAACAAAGTCTGCAATGTTTGTCTACTAGGTAAAATATAAAATTTTCTTAACAGACGATACGCCTTAGCTGTAGGTTTGTATAGCGATAGCGCTAAAATCTTTTCATCAATGGTAAATCAATGCCTTTGTTTTTTTGTTATTTCCATGTGACATTTGCATTCGGAAAAATAATTTTGCAGTAGGTGACATATTTTTGGAAATTATTTGGAAAGCAGAATTCAAGATTTAGCAAGAGCCAATTTTTGTTTAAAGCTCCTTTTTTGAGCTTCTAATTTTTTTAATTTCATCACAGTTATTTTATATTGATTATGGTCTTTCACAGAAACACCTGCAACAAATTTCATGAAATGTAAATTAAAGCCTCAAAAATAAATAGTTTCTTTTTTTGCATTATACACTGTACAAAACTGAATATTTTTCAGATTTGCAGATTGTTTCCAATTTCATGCAGCAATTTTCAAATTGGATAATTGAGATATAAATTTTAACATACCTTTTAATTTTCTTGGCAACTGTTGTTTGGCAACAGGTGTTTGTGTCTTTCCATGGTTTGTATGCTGACATGGAAATAATAACAAATATAGTTATTTCATGGATATCATTGGCTTATCAATCTCTGGCTCAAAATATTAAAGATTGGCCTATGTTACACAACATAGATTTGCAATTTTGAACAAAGGGACCTTCAATTTTTGTATAACTATATGTTGACTCATGAATTTTCCTTTATATAAAAAATAATATTATATTTAAGATGATTATTTAACTATTTTAATTTTCATCAGAAAAATGTTTACCAACCTGATGTGCAGGCATGTAGTTGAAAAGGTACAAAATGTGAGCTACATGGCAAATCCGCACTTGCAACTATGTGAGGTTCTCCAGTTGATTGCGCTGAACATGAAGAAAAAAACATTTTATAATATTTTAAAAATCAAAACATTAAAAATTAACATGGGAATTAGGAGCATTATTTGAACAATGGTGTAAGAAACTAGCTTTCGCCCACAAGGTCTTATATTGTACATATAAACCTTCCTCTTGTACCACTCTATACCTATATTGATGAAAACCACATTAAAATCCATAATGTTTTTTATAAGAACTCAGCTTATAGTAAACATATTCGTTTTCTACTATTTCATTTTTACTTTAAACTTTTTATAGTTTGAAAAATTATTCACTGGTCATTGTTAATCACATATGAAAGAATTTTAATGCATTTAATAAATAGATAGGTAGACATTCAATATGCAGTATTATTTATAAATAATAAATTACCTGACATATGAAGTGTAGGCATTGCTATGTTGCAGTCTATTCTTGGGATATTTATAAATATCTAGAAAATGTTTTCCAAAAATATGCATGTTATTATATATTTTGATTGGATCCAGATGAGTTATTTCTCCACCAAAAATGTCTATCCATTTTTAAAAATTTTCTGTTTTAGTTCTAGGGTCAGGAAACCGGTGCAAAGGGATACCTGAGTAACATAATAATATGTATTATTCTCTGCTATTCACACAACAAATTATTAGTCCTTAATTATTTGTAACTTGGATGAACAAATAACAATTCTTAAATTGTAGGCACATAATAAGTTTTTTAATGAATATTGTATTCTACGATAGCTCAAAGAAAAATACCTGAAAAACATTTGAATTATGAAACTCCACGTATAGGTATAAAAATCGGTTGAAAACTTTGACATTATAGTACAATTCATAAAGTATTTATTGTACAAACTAAAAAGCACTTACCGCTATCCTTAGTCACTGAACATTAAAGTACACAACAACGGTTTTGAGCCATGATTTTTTGAGCAAAGTTCAAATTAAAAACAAGTAACATTTCGGTACGGGATATTTCAAGACACAATACGATTGCTAACACAATATATTTCGATTACACGGAAGAACTTAATCAACTCAACGTGAATAGCAGAAAAAGTTACAGGAACTTGCAAAAACTAACAAGCACAAGGACATTCACTCAATTCATTTTCCATTTGCGAAGTTAGTTTTAAAGTTTACCCACTATACCAAACCATTACATACGCGCCATTTTCAATTGATATTGCCATAGTATATTTAATATTACCACTTAAATTAGAAACATTTCTAGTGACAATTCTATAATTACTATATTATTCTGTAACGAGATATATTATTTCAATAATATTAGGTATCATAAGGCTTTTAACTCAGTTTCAAGTAATAATAAACAAGATTTATTAATGATGCCTTTAAAAACTATCCCCAATTATAAACACATTTATTAATTGTGGCTACACCATGATTTCTATTTTAAAAGCTGGCACATAGATGGCACTGTAAAGTAAAAAAAAATCGAGTTCTAAGTTTGCATAGCATGACTACGACACACGTTAACTTAATCGCGCGTTTCTATTTTTTCTAATTTTCTATCGCACATATATAATAAATGTTCACAGTTTGACATTCTTTAATAAGTTAGAGTAAAGGTACCTGGTGCACAGTAATTATTTAGAAGTTGTTACATACCGGTTGTTGAATATGGGACGACTTCATAAAATAATTATATCTTTTACGATAATTTTATTAGGAATATTTTATAAAGATGTCGAGAAGAAATTTGAGACATATTTTAGTAATTATTTACAAAGTACAAAAGATTTGACTAACGAAAAAAGCAAAGATATTTACACTTTAGAAGAATTAGCTCAATATAACGGAGCTATCAAATCACAACTGTATTTAGCTATAATTGGCACAATATTTGATGTTAGTAAAGGCTCAAAACATTATGGAGAAGGTTCACCATACAATTATTTTGTTGGTAAGAACTTAAGTCACTTTCACTTCTATTTCACTTTAACTTATTATGGCCTCAGAAACTATTTCTATATAAACAGGGTTTTCAAATAATTAATAATTTATGTACTAGTTTTCAGTCAATATTTTTATTTAAAAAAAGGGAATAAAGTTATACCCATGCAAAATATATTCCTATAACTTTTTTTAATTATTTGTGTTTTTTACATTTAATATTAGGTATTTTATTTACTATTTGTTGTTGTTTAATTTTTTATTCACATTAGTTAATATTATTTTTATTAACAGTAAAACTATTAGTTATATGGTATCAAAAAGTAGTTGATATTCGCAACTAGGCCCCTAATATAGAAAAACCATCATTCTACATGTACTGTGTTTAAGCACAAATATTTTTTTTAATTTTAGGAAAAGATGCTTCAAGAGCTTTTATTACAGGTAATTTTAAGGATAACAGTGTTAATAAAGATCACATTTTAGACTTAACATGTGATGAATTAATAACACTCCTTAATTGGAAAACGACATTGAAAGAAAAATATAGACATGTTGGTAAGTAATAGAAAATATTGGCAATATGTATATTGTTATACAATATACAATTTTGGCTTAATTGCGGCTTTTGCAGGTATTGTTATTGGAAGATACTTTGACCAAAATGGGAAAGAAACGGATTATATGAATCAATTTTATGAGAGAGTAGATCACTGTAAATATCAGAAGCAATTGGCTAAGGAAGAGGAACGCAAATATCCTCCATGTAATATATCTTGGAGTGAAGAGGAGGGCACTACGGTGTGGTGCACTAGATCAAGGTACATCCACAGTAACTCCATCACTTAATTGATTTACACCTGGTTTACACCTATATTTGTACATAAGTTGTTAACTTATTTTATGTAATATCAAGTAAACGCACAAAATTGTTTACATGTACCTTCGTAATAAAAATTTAAGTTAACTACTTATCAAATTAATATGTGTTAACTAGCTGTTTTAAAATTAAGTTAAGAGTTTTGTTAACTACTTATCAGCTTCATATGTGTAATCCAGCCGTAACAGTATTTAATGTCATATATTTCCAGTGGTGGAATAAATCGCAGTTGGACAGGAGTACCTCGGCAGCTTTATACCCCAGGAGAAGACAAACCACGCTGTGTGTGCGTTAACATGACAAACAATAATCAAGTGGCATTATTTAAAGAATATGATAATTGTTCTAGTACATCTACACTGTGTCATATCAGAAATTAATATCTATTTGTGTTTGTATAAAATGTATTAAATTGGTCTCTTACACTCATGAATACGTACACTTACAGTTATGAATTAATTTTATATTTTTATAGGTATTTACAAAAAATCTGCATTTTTATCAATACTAATTTAACATAAGTACTGTAAAATAATGATATTATTACAAATAAATTTTATATTTGGATCTCATATAAATATTTTATTTTCGGATTATATAAAATACTTGTCTAGATTTGCCTACAAAGAAAATAATAAAATTTCTAAATAATTCTTGACAACAATTCTATTATAGTCATGATCATATCAATGGTATTTTAAAAGACTGCTTTTGCCACTACAACATATTCAAGTATGCTTGCCTAATCTATTTTGGATTCCTAATACATATTTTCTAATATATTTTATTTATTTTCTAATATATTTTATTTACACCTTAACTTTTATCATTAATTTAGAATGATGGTTCCAGAAATAGATGTTTAGTTATAATAATTCCTTATAGGTGTGTAATTTTATATTATGTTAGTTTTGTGAGTAATAGACAGTTTTTCAGTAAAATGAAATTATTCACTGATTATAATTTATTTGATTTAACATAAAGAAGTTTCATAAATTCACACCAATAATACCACAGGTACAAAAGTCTATGCTGCTTCTTTATCATTGCTCAATATTTTCGTATCACTTTGTACAGTTTCATCTAGCTCTAGACACTCTATTGTCTTAAGAAAAACTTGCATAGGTATTTTCTTCCTATTTAGAAATGATTTATTGCCAAGGAGTTTCTTAATTTTAGCCCTTCGTTTCTTTATTTTATCTTTTGTGTATTGATTACCTAATTGGAATGTAAGTAGTCTTTTAACTTTTCTGCCTCCTATTAAAGTCTCTGTGGAATTGTTTTCAGTCTTAGGCTCTTCATAAATGGTCTCCAAGGTTTGTGATAAAGCTTTTACTTTCCTGTTTAAATAAAGAGCTTCAATTTGCTTGGGATTTGCATTTTCAGTCATATGTTTGCGTGGTTTCATGCTAACTCTACGATTATTAGATTTATTAATTTCGGGCATAAGCGACTTCCTTTTTCTTAAGACTCTTGATGTAGCATCAGCCTTATTGGGAGAGTTTTCATTGTTTGGAATATCCATCTCCATTATATCTAAATGAGCCATCTTATTTGGCAATTCAGCATCCACTCTGTAATGAATAATAAATGTAGAAAAAATGGTCAAAATATATTGCCGATACATTAAACTTTCACCTATTTAATCTACTAGCATTCGAGTTTTACTAACCTAGATGATTCCATTTTTGTTTTATAAATTGATATAAATTTAATGTTTTATAAATTTAAACTTTTACCATCTTATCTAAAAGTATCCTTTTCTTTTAATATGTAGCCGTTGTTATTTCAATTTACTCGACAAACTCGACTTTTGAATCGCAGGTGAAACTTTGACAATGACATAACAACAGATGACGAAATGACAGTAAAACATGCAAATAAGAATGACCACGTGATGGCATTGGTGTTGTATGTAGCTGCTTCCTAGGGATACTAAAAACTCTTTTCGATACCAAGTATTAGAAACTGTTATTTTATTAGTTTATGTAAACAAGCGAAATTAGGAAAAAATAACCAATATTATAAGAAAAATGTCCACGACAAGACTACTAAACCTTTGAGATGAAATGGGGAGCATGACTAAGTGAGTATTGGCTATTTGACAATTATAACAATAAATTATGAGATATATTAGAAATGTTAAGATATTATAATGCTTATACCTATGTTAATCCTACCCTACTACCTATGCTTTACTTTTTATTTTTAAATTGATTGTAAACATACATAGTAATGCAAAATAATTTACAGTATATAATCTGTGGATTAGAAAAACCGAAACGCTATGGCCTTGACGGAGCCGTCGTATGACGTCACATTTAAATAATTATTTTGGTTTATAATACGAAATTCGGCATGCTTTTCTCGAATCAAAAGTTTCTAAATCGTATACTGTGCTTATGTTCGTAGCCAACTGCAAATTCGTCCCAAATCTGGATTTATAGATATACCACTTATATTGACAGAAGTGAAGGTATTCAAAAGAAATTTATCAAGTTTCTGTGCTTTAAGATGAATAGGCCATATGATTCATCTGAATTACCTGAAAGTATGTTAAGACCAATATTTGCTGCCACTAATGCTCCGTAGAAAAGTAGCTGATATTGTATATCTACTTAAGATTATAAATGAGGAAGTATTTAAAAAAAAAACATTAATTCCAGAAATTGAACTAAATGTCACTACGGTACATTTTTGATTTCTCCATGACAACTCTTTCGGTTTTCTTTCATTTTTAAAAGTAAATTAATTTTCAAAACTCCATAATCAACTCATATTCTATTTGTACTTTTTCGTATTTGTATTGATATCTAAGTTTAGAACTATGCAAATTTCATTTTTTTATTATGGAACGGAAATGACTATTTTGATCCATTTGTGCTTTTTTTTCTTTAAAACTTGCTCATTCAACAAAAAACAACTAATCATTATCAATCATGTATGTACGTTCTTAGTACACAATATAAACAAATTGATATCATTTATAATAAATATTAGTGAATGCATCCCTATTTACCATTTACGCTCCGATGATATGTATCAAACAAATACTGTTGCCAAATTCAGGATACTCCCTCCAAATTTGGGGTATTTTTTATAGTTATGAGGGAAGAATTGCGGGGATGAAGTCTATGGATTTTTTTTTTGGAGGGAAGCGAATTGATTTGGAGTCAAATGGGGATGATATTATTTCCAAAAATTGTAAAGAAAAAAGAAAATTAAAGCATAATAACTAAACACAAATCATTACGAAACTGATAGTCATTTTAAATATAAATATACCTTATATATATTCATCTATTGCCTACTTTCTCGTTTAAATAACCATAATGTGTAAAATACAATGTATTAGGTGTTCCTGTCTGTTAAACTCACGCTTGACGAGAGTTAGGCGTGAGAAATCCTATAGCATTACGTTACATACTAAATCATTTGTTAGCTATGCTTTGCTGCTTCAAAATTTGTCCTTTTACGCAAGCACCTACATATCTTAGCCATTAGTTATATTATTTAGTGGAGGTGCTTTTTTAGTGCTTTCGTTTTTTTTAATACTTTCTGATTAACTTTTGATTATTTGAGGAATTATTTAAATTACAAAAAGAGAGCACTAAAATAGGTCCTCGCTAAATGGCGACTCTAGCAAAAGTGATTGTTGTAGGGAACGAATAGACCAAATATAACTTTGCAAACTGAAATTTGCAAAGTTCGAACCTTACATATCAATACAAATACGACAAAGTACTAATAGAATATGAGTTGTTCATTGAGTTTTGCAAATTAATTTACTTTTATACATAAAAGAATCCGGAAGAGTTGTCATGGAGAATTCAAGAAAGTACCTTAGCGACATCTAGTTTGATTTCAGCACCTAATGTTTTTTAATAATTCATCATTCAGTTTAGTATTACCAACCATTTAATATTAGATTTGTATTGTTTACATTGATGCCCCTGTTTGCTGCTTCAGTCCTTATTTTTACTGTTTTTAAATAAGCTTTCAGCATCACAATTTATTATTCTGTACACTAAATATTTTTGTTAACCACTATGTACAAAAACGCTAACTCTACTAGAGGGCAATATTTACTTTTGTCGGGCCATAGTATTTCACCGCAGCACATACAATTTCAGGATAGATAGATATTGACAGTCATATTTTTGTGCACGGGGAAATGGGAACGGAATATTTTTTTTTATTTTGTGATCAACATTATAATATACCAATGTATGTAAGTCCTGTTAACTAATAAAAGTATGTGATTGAATTTAATTATATGAGTGCAGTATGAAATATGCATTTTTACTGAATCTGTTTTCTCCCGTTTTTTTACTGGTGACTTGTTGTTGTCTTGTCTTTAGTAATCTAAATGTAATTAATATTTCTTTATTTGCAGCAATATACTTCAGTACTGCCAAATTGATCGTCTTTTGTGAAGAAAAAAGTAAAAGTTTAAAATAAGAAACAAAAATGAATGATTTTCTAAGTGTATTACATTATAATTAAATAAAAGGACAAAAATTTTATTATAATATAATACTGGGTTTTTGCAATAAGATTTGGGGGAAAGTCATAATAGCATATGATAACACCAAACTAATCTGACATTTTGTACGTACCAGTACGATCTTATTTTCATTTTACATGTAAAAATTAATTAATTTACTTGACATTGGCAGAATTGCGCGAAATGCGCAGATAAGCCATTAATTAAAAAAGAAGAAGAACTGCTGATCGATGATTGATGTTTTGTGGTTGTTATGTATTTAATTACTTTACGTAAAAGTTTATTAGTTCTTAAAACTGGGTCGGTTAGTAAAATATTTTTTACAAATTCATTATGAACTTTGAATAAATATGAACAAGTTCGTATCACTTCGACATTTTACTGAGATTTCTCCAAGAAGGAGAGTAGTTGTCACTGGTCTGGGAATAGTAAGTCCACTTGGAACGGGTACAGACTTGGTTTGGCAAAATTTGCTAAAAGGTCATTGCGGGATTGTTTCCCTTCATGATGATGAATATTCCAAACTACCATGTAAAATTGCTGGTGTTATTCCTATAGAGAAAAATGATAAGCTTAAAAAAGCATTATCAAGAGGAAACTTAAAATCTATGGCACCAGCTACATGTTTGGCATTGGTTGCTACAGAGGAAGCATTAGCAGACTCGAAATGGTCACCTAATACTGATTTAGATAAAGAAACAACTGGAGTCACATTGGGAATAGGGATGATTGATTTAAAAGATGTATGTGAGACAAATGATGCTCTCAAGCAAGGATACAATAAAGTAAGTCCATTTTTTGTCCCAAGAATATTGCCTAATATGGCAGCTGGTCACATAAGTATAAAATATGGGCTACGAGGTCCTAATCATGCAGTTTCTACAGCATGTGCCACAGGTGCACATTCCATTGGTGATGCTTTCAGATTTATTAGGAATGGAGATGCAGATGTTATGGTATGTGGAGGAGCAGAATCGTGTATCAGTCCATTAGCTATTGCAGGTTTTTGTAGGTTAAGAGCATTAAGTACATCTTTCAATGAGACACCTTCAAAAGCTTCTAGACCTTTTGATAAAAAGAGAGATGGGTTTGTTATGGGTGAAGGCGCTGCAGTTTTGATATTAGAAGAATATGAACATGCACGGAAAAGGAATGCCAAAGTTTATGCTGAAATCTTAGGGTATGGTTTATCAGGTGATGCATCCCACATAACTACTCCAAGGGAAGATGGAACTGGGGCAATATTGTCAATGAGTAGAGCTCTAAAAGACAGTAATTTGAAAAAGGAAAGTATCACATATATTAATGCTCATGCAACATCAACACCAATTGGGGATGGCATTGAATCTACTGCTATAAAAACTTTTTTTAAAGAACATGCCCCAAAGATTTCAATATCATCTACAAAAGGAGCTCATGGACATTTGTTAGGAGCTGCTGGTAATTTAGAAGCTGTGTTTACTGTTTTAGCATGCAGTAGTGGAATACTGCCTCCAACATTGAACTTGGATGACCCTGTAGATGATCTCAATTATGTTGCTCATACTTCACAACAATGGCAATCTGATAGAAGAATAGCTTTAAAAAATTCTTTTGGATTTGGTGGTACAAATGCCACACTTTGTATAGCACAAGTATAAAACTCTACAAAGTGTGGCAATAGTAAATTATTTATTTAAATAGGACAATAAATTAAAAGGAATATGGAATTAAATTTAACTTATTGATGGTGATATTATATAGATGGTATTGATCATATACCTTCTATAATATTTAACTATAGAATTTTTGAAAAACTAATATAAATATTTCAGTTTTATAATCTCCATGGCCATACCATATATGATTTTTGTGTAAAATTAGCACTACTTGATGTGTAATGATTATCTGTGATAGGTTTGATCATTTATCACCATTAATTGGTAAACATTTGAAAACTGCTTTTCAAATATTAAATTCAAAGACTGCATTTGAATAAACATACCAAAAAGTATAAACTATGTAAATATATAATATTTTTCATTCAACCAGTGTATAATACACTCATCTCATTGATGATTAATATAACAATGATGTTAAAACACCAGAAATATAATTATTTCAGCAATTTGCACAAACATCAATTAAAATTGTCATTGGTTTAAAGTGCCATTACCGATACAAATTCGACATTCATTAGGCTCGAAGGAGTCTGTTTGTGCAATAGACTGTTAGTGTGATAATTTTTTTTATAATAAAACTATATATTCATATTATAGTATATTTAAAACTGAGTTACAAATGTTTTTGATTTTAATAACAATGGCAAAATAGCCACGGTAACTCCCATCCTCATTCTTTAAGCTTCCAGCAATAATTAATTCTTCATGTACCACATAATATTGAGTCATATAAGCACAAATTGAAAATAAAATATTTTGATCAAAAAATGCTACTTTAAATATTTCATTACTAAGCCTTCTAACAATATAACATTCTTTAAATGCTGGGTTTATCCAGTCAAATATTAAAACTGTTGGAATCATTCAAACTTGCACTTGATTTTATTATGCCTTAAAATTATATTTGTCCACAAGTCATAAACATGATTTAACAAAACAGTACCACCGATATTAGATTTTTATATCATCTACAATATCTGTAATAACTATAAGCACCCATTATTCCTCAATAATATTTAGAACAGAGGCTAATAATTAACATGACATAATTTCAAAAGAGGCTCAAATAATTATTTATTTATCATTGTATATATATTTTCTATTTAATTATTTGAATTAATATAAAATAATGTCTTTTTTGCCAAGTCTCATAAATTAAACAGGTACTTTTTCTGCAAACGACATACAATCGGAACAAGTAATTCTATCATATTTGACATACTAACCCATCTTACATGACTGAGGACAACTATATCGCCCCAAAACACACACCAATGGACTTAATTATATAGAATAAGAAATCATTACAACACAACTAATACAAATGTCTTGTCAAACTATTGATAGCATGAGAAAACAAATTTGAGTTTTTAATAATTGATATTATTTTTTTCAGTAAAATATTTTTTTATTGTAATATTTGTTAACAAGTGAGACTTGACAACGACACATCCTAAATCAATGAAGCAATATCAACAGAGTGCAAGATATTGTAGCCGTCCAACAGAGGACTGTAACTGTTGTTATATATTGGACTGGTTATTGAGGCATACAGTCTGTCCAGGTTATTTCAGGAGAAAATGACTATGAATATTTTTATAGAGTGCAGTTTAACCAGTTAGGCAGACTCTTTATCCTGTGTCAGTACACGAGGTGGGTTCACACATAGTTGTGCGAACTTCTGCCGGAGGTTTTGTCGCAGTTCCTGTCTCTTCTCTGTTATGTTCCGTCGAGATCTAAATTCTAAAACCTCCTCTATAGGAATATAACTGGTGTCCTGTTCGTCTTCCGATGAGCATGTATCCTGCAGAAAAGAGGGATGTAATGAATAACCTTTACAATGTTTCTGTATCTATCTCTACTTCATATAAAAGTAGTGTTATGTATAATATATTCCAGTCACAGAACAGAGATAATTTCGTCCAATGACCCGGCATTACATATCCTTTTTCACTTGTGCGCAGAAGTATTGCTATTATGCTTGCACAGATACATCTAGCCAATTTTGTCATAGTAAAGTAAAGTAAATCTTAATGTTTACGACATCTATCAGTAAGCACAAAGGTCAACATACAATATTTTCTCTGTTTGGCGATCGGCCAAAACAAATAGATATGAATGACAATAAACGACACTATGATAAGCACAAAATACAAAAAACACCATCCACCACATTACTGATATCAAGCCTTAAAGAAGTGCTGGTCAGTGTTGCCAACTCGGTGACAAGTTCTGTGGCTAAATTATAACTAAAAAAGTACCAAATATGGCCAATAATTTTTGAAACGGGCCAAATTGCTATTTTGATGAAAATAAAAGAACTAATTCTAAAGGAATATTCATTGAGCAACACTATCGTCACTTATAGATATTATTCCTAGGACTGACTGAATGTCACTGAATTTTTGAACACCATTAAACTATAGATTGTTTATAGTACACCATTTTCAGGGAATTGGGAAAAATTGGGAGTAGTGTTGGCAGGGCTTAAGTTGGTGTTACCCGCTTGAGTGTGATTAGTTTTGAAAGTTTTAACTTAAAAAGGCTAGAACTAGCCAAATTGGGTCAAATTGGTCAAAGGGTCAAATTGGCATCACTGCTGCTGGTGACATAACTCTTGTGCTTTATAACGAGTAAAGTCTCATTTATGGTATTTATTTGATGGCAGAAAACATAAAAACATCCCCAAAGCTTAACTCACCATCAACATTTCCTGTAGAGAAAGTGTAAATCCGGTGCACGACTTCTCATTTTTTGTATCTAAACAGTCTCCTCGCTCGTGATTGCAGAATCCCTCGGAGCAAGCCACCTCGGAGCCCTCAGGGGAACTCATAAGGGAAGATGAGCCGGATATTGTTTCGCAACAGCCGCCGTTGTTCCCCGACGAGTAGCCACAGTCTTGGGAGTGATCGTTGGGCGAAAGTTTTCCGTTTTTGTTCCGCTTCTTGTTGGGCGAACGGTGCGGGGCGGGCGCCTCCTCACAGGAACGGCAACCGTCGCCCGCCTCACAACAAGCAGGGTACTCGCGAGGGGACAACAGCTCTGTCGGCGTGTCACGTTCTTCCATTAAGCATTCTTCACATTGGCACTTTTCTTCTGGTTCCTCAGAGTCGGCCTCCTGCAAATGGTTTACCAATTTAATTATAATCAGCATTGCCAGAAGCCCCGATTTTTTTCTATTTTATGTATAGTTACGCTTTGAAGGATTATTCGTTGCAATTTGAGTAGAGGCTGAAATATTACTTATTTATATTTCCTCGGAAGACTTCAATGACTTACAAGGTTAACAAAGTAGTTTTTTATAAGTATGATAACAATTAAAATGACATTTTATATTACTCGTATTATTAATATCAATAAAAAACTGAAATGAATAACCAATACAATTAATGACTTTTACATTTTCTTATGTCCTGCTTGCAGTAAAAAAATCCTGTTTTTATTAGAAAATTTAAATATTTCACTTTGTCCCCAAATAAAATCTAACCCTTTAAATTACGGATTTTTAAGCCGTCAAAGATATAAACTTGAAAGATTATATAAATATAGTTACAATAGTTCGAATAATTTTATCTTAATATTTTGAAATAATTTGTCAATTAAATTGTGACTCACCTTGCATTTGATCTCCACAGCTTGCCTCTCTTTCTTCTTGCGGCGCTTCAGTTTTTTTTGTTCCTTCCGTTGCTGCCGAGTTAATTCTTCCTGTGTTATTTCATCATATAAGAGTTGTAGTTTAGAGACGCCGCTTTTTTGCTCCACCGCAGTCTCAAATTTGCGATACAGTGCCTCCACAGCGACTGCTGCGAGAGTCTGACAAGTGCCTTCTTCTTCTCGCAACCGTAGGGATATGCGTTGCAGTCGCTCGTAAATGCATATACCGAGACATATTAGCACCTATAACAAGTGAAAGTTGATACTTTAATAATGATCTACACTGTGTATGTTTATTATAGGCAAAAACATAGCATAAACATGGATGTCTGGACAATCTTTGTAATATCTTTGGTTGGTTCATTTTTTCCAAACATATAACAGAAATCTGTATTTTCACTCATAGGAAACATCCCTATGAATACACGAAAGTTTGTAAATGATACGCTTAGTTAGTTAAGCTAGACACATACCTCTTCTTGTGCAATTTCAAGAGTTTTCGCATGCCTCTCACGGTGGTTCCCAAGTAATTCTGGCTCTGCTCTGGCTATGAGTTGCACTATATAGTCAGTTTTTGCTTGTAAATGCAGATGCTTATCCAGTAAGCATCTCTTGATACCACCATATAATGCTCCTACATAACCTTTCTCCTTTTGTGGCTCTTTTTCTTCGACTAGAAGTTGATATGCGCGTAATACCTAAAAATGTAATTATTATTTACATAAAACATTATTTGTTTTTACAAGCTTTGACATATTTTTTTATAAAGATAAGCAACACACAATTTTATCATTATAGTCATCTATAGTGTGTTCTCTTGGCCCAAAGGTATTGCCATAAACATCAAGTACTTATTATTATCATTTGAACTGAAAAACTTAAGAATAGGAAGAGAAACATTGATAGATATTTTCTAAAACCCGATTTGATAGTTTTCTCAAAAATCTAATAAGTTTGATAGTAACATTTTGCAAAAATTATACATATAAATTTAACATAACAACAAACTATTAGAAAGTTTTCCTCTTTTGAAAATAAAAAGATAAAAATTAATCGCAGTAAGTATATTAAATTAATTAACAAGTCCCACCCACCACATTGATACATTTATTTACTTGATTAGGTGCTAAAGCTAAATTATATATATTGAAAAGTTGCAGAACAACTGCTATCTGAAGTAAAACCATAAATATGCAACCTACAAGGGATCCCATTCCACATACATTAAACAGACTTTTGGTGGAAAACTAATACTATTTATTTTACATTGAGTGTTTAAAAATAACTATTATTTCGTGATATGTTTACTTGACAGATGCTGTGCCACCCTGAATGAGAATTACCTTAGTCTTGCAGTCAGTACAGAAGCGATGTTTCCTTAGATAGTTGTGTAGGGTGTCATGTAAAGTGTTGAAGTGCACAAGGGTAACATGGTCTCGTGCGGGCGCGCGCATAGCGTCCCAGGCGGCCCGCCACGCCGCGCGCCCCCCCCATCCCCAGGCGCCCCATCCCCATCCACATCCACCTCCCGCACCCCAACCCCGAGCACTGCCCGCCTCTAACGAGTGCAATGTACACCGCTGTGATTTCTTCCATCTTGGTTGGCTCAGAATCAAACACTCTATACCCGTGCTGGAAGAATGCATAAATATCAGCCTAATTGTTATCAGAATTGTTATAGACAATAAGCTCTTTTCTCGTTTTAAAACATAGACACATTTAGCTACTAATGAAAGCGTGAGACAGAACTCCATGTAAAATACTGGATGATAAGTTATTGAAAAGTCTCAAGTTTCAAGTCAAGTTATTGTAAAAGATCTTTTCTATATTATTTCTGGTCTGGGTGTAGTAGTTCCTTCACTATTTCTGATTCCCATGATACAAGTAAGTGTTAAAATTGACTTAATTTGAGATCTCGGCAATATATGTCGTGTTATAATAGTATATCAATCAATTAATATGTTAATATTAGATCACCTAAATATTCAACATTACAAAATAATGTACCTATTATCAAAATTTATAACAATGTATGAGAACCAACACTTGCTTTGAAAAGAGCTCAGCTAGTATCCACAAGTTAATAGTCAACCACATCAATAGCTTGCACACTAAGCTAGCTAACACAGGAAAAGAAAAAGATATTATTCTGTTGCCCTGCATTATACGTAATGATACTGTTGTTATTAAATATATAGTGTTGAATTAATTATACTATTACATTTATACATTGTTGGCAATTATAAGAGCCATAAGGAAGAAACTGAACCAGAAAATAGAGTATTTAAAATTATAAGTATTCTCAAATTAAAGTTTTAATATATCTATATATATGAAGTAATATAATTAAAAGTAATTATTGAGTAACATAATAAAAATTGTCTTCACATACTTATGACCATTTAACAATGTGGCTAATGACTGTGGGTGCACAATTTTGTCTTCTCTGATTGTCATTATTTCATCTAACGTCAATACTAATGGATCCAGTGTAGGGTGTCCTGATTTGCATAGCTGGTAAAATAGACGTTCCACACTGAAAAAAAGAGAAATAATTAATTTTGTAATATAATGCTATTTAGTTTTATTAATATGTGGGTCAATTTATTTAAAACTTTCAAAATTTATGACAATTAAATATCAATAGAATTAATCAGTTTTAAAACAATATAATTCAAAAACCTAAATAGTAGAGCTTGCATTCTACTAAAATGCCATGGTTTTATGTTACCAAGTTCTGAGCTTGAGTCCCATTTAAGTTCATTTATGCATTCTCTGATCTAAGTGTTGTGTGACTTTACTCGTATCAGATTTCCATAAAACTAAATCGCTACTTAGCATTAGCTACTTAATTCATACTCATATAACCCTTTACACAAACTTATCACTTTAATAATAGCAGAATATGAAAAGCAAAAAATTATTTTATGATATTTCAATATTCACGATAATAATAGCTCAATAAACAAAATTAAATATTAAATGAATCAGCAGTATCATAGGTCACAAATAAAAACATGTGCTTATCTCACCTTCTTCGACAACCAACACAAGGAATGCTTTGATTTAACACATTGAATATATCGGAGGCGTCTACTCTGAGAGCCGATTTCAATTCATCTATCGATAGAAATCTGTATTTTCGCATAAACTCTTCGTATTCACGACCTTTCACTTGTGGATTGTCACAAATCAATCCCATTGTGTTTAAATCCATAATCATCTACAAAAAAAATAGATCATAACAAAGGAATAACATCGTAAAATTAAGGTCATGCAGTTAACGTCACTACTTTTAGAAGAAATCAATGATACCCAAAAAAGCAATTAACACTTCGATTGGATTTAATTAATTATATTTCACTATCGTCTATTCCTTAAGTTTTCAAAAATCAACGAACAGAAAGACTAGATGTGTTTTTTAGTACAGCTATTAATTATTTTCCTTCAGAGTTAAATCTACGTTGATTGTAATGTCAAAGTACAAAATCAGATACTTACTGTTAGATTTTCATAAATAGTTAACGGCAATTGTCGTCTTTTTATAACAGGTTCCTTTTCGCTATTGTATATATCTACTAGTTTCGCCATTTTTTATGAGTAATCACATAAAATCGCCGACAAAATATACAAATTAACAAAATGACGGCCAAATTCTTGAGAAAATACACGTCGTGTTGCGTCTGACAAAATATCAGTGTTGCCAGAAAGCGATCCATTTTGCCTTAGTTGCGCGTATCACGTGTTATTTTAGAAACAAACAGTTTCCATAGTAAAAAATATATGTTTTATTTATGTTTATTCTTCTTTGAGTAAGCGCAAAGCATAATCTGTCCTAAAAATCCGTCGTTATTCATGGTAAAGGTAAAGGTAAATTTTAGCTAACAGATATTCGTGAATCTTTCTATATTCTCTAATAATGATACAGTAATAGTTTTTTGGTCAAATAGTCTTCTGCTTCAGCCGAAATTAGAAGTTTTGTTTTTACTTTCATTTTCGTTGTTTCATCGATGAAGCTTATAAAATAAAGTGTCTAAATATATCTAATATAGTATTCATTTCATCAAATAGTCAAAATATAGTATTCATATTTGATAACTGATGCGCTTTTCTGATAAAAGTCACTAGACGGCTGTTCGCTTTCATCGGCCTTGGCCTTTCAACGTTCATCACAATGAATCCATATATATATAATTCTTGCTTTATTAATTGACTGACTGACAGACAACGTGCAGCTGAAACTACGTAGAAAGTTGAAATTTGGAATGAAAAATCCTTAAGGATATTTTTGAAAAAAAAGGGACTAAATTAGGGGATGAAACTTTGTATGAAACTTCATTACTACAAGTGCTAGGAATATTAAATTTTACAAGCGGTTTCTTTTTAGGAATTAGGTGCTCATTAAGACGGGGTAAATGAAAGTTTTTCAATACATATACGAGAACTTAATGTACGTTCGTAAAAATATTAGTTTGTTTTCTATAAAAAGTGATGTACAGAATTTTAATACAAGAAATAAAAATAAATTAACGGTGCCTGTCACTAGACTGCAAAAAGTTAATAACTCATTCAAGGGTCTTTGTGTGCGCTTCTACAATAAGGTCCCAAGCAAAATACAACAATTAGATATCATGCAGTTTAAATCTACTATAAAAAAAAATACTTATTAAAAAAGCTTATTATAAGGTATCCGATTATATAACAGATAAGAACGCTTGGACTTGAGATGATCCAGCAACTGGATAGGTGATTACTTCTAAACTCATTATCTTGTTTCCATTATTATTAAATGATTATGTTATTATTATAAGACCATAGTTCTTTTTTTTATCTCTGTTTATAATGTATTGATCTGGTAATGACATGGTTTTTGTAAATGTCATTACTCCTATTAGAGCTTGTGGCGACTGATACATAGCGACATCTAATTCATCGCAGTAACATCGCCACAACAATCGATAGCGAGAAGACTAGCATCGTCACAGCCATCGATAGCAAGACGAACTGCAATAAGTTTCAACAGCAAGTAACGAGATGTCGCTGTACCAATTCAAGCAGCATAAATTAATAACTACAAGACATTTAGAACAAAGAAACCTACATCACACAGAATAAGTTTCATTACTAATTAACATAAATAGAACGTCCAACCTACATCGGTTGGACCGCGGTCCCCGGGCTAACAACACCTAGCTCGGAGGGAGACAATTATCCTTTAGTCTCCCTGGCCAGTTGTCTCCGTCACCACAGTAGGGACCACACCTTCAATCTTAAGGTTCCTAAAAGCTGGTGAGTTTCTTGCTCGTTCTTCTTATCAGCCAAAAGACGTCCTGAACGAGTGGTGAGGAAAAAATGTTGGACGATTCAAAAGTACTTTTAAGAAGTCTATTTGAATAAAGATTATTTTGACTTTGACTTTGACTATGGAATTTTCTTATTTCTGGATTTGAAGAGCGGGCGATGTCACAGGCAAAAGCTAGTGTTAAATAAACGTATTTGCTGCCGCAATTTGTTTCACTGCAGCTTTTAATGATTGTCTATGATATCTAATAATCTATTTGTATCCCCAAAATAAAAAATAATATTCCTTCCATTGTACTTCTTCCGGAACATTTGTCCAGCAGACAGTGTGTCAAAACTTAAAATAGATATAAAGTTGAAGCATTGTCCTTCAACGACGATTTCACAGAAATTCACTAATTGTGGAAATACATTTTTTAAACGAAGGAGGCTCACGCAAATGTTATATTTGCCCCATAGTAGCGCCGTCGTTGAAAGCCTTATATCAGTCACAAATATGATGAAAATAAACTCAAGAAATCAAAAGCCAACGACGACAGACACTTTGCACATGGGGGCAGAAATAAAGGAATGTTTTGCATTTAACGCAATAGTTCCCAGAAATCCCTTAAATATAAGCAATGCACGCTAAATGTAATAGTAGTTCTTAAATATTTATTATTATGTGGCCAAATAATATGGTATTTGAATTTTTTGTTGTTTGATACATTATAAACACACTGTCGATATATTTCATGAGAATCTGTAATATTTTAGATGAAAATAATTGTTAAAGTTTAAATAGCCAAAATAGCGTTAAAACGCTGCTCTATGTAATAGCGCTGATCACGTGGTATTTGTGACGTCACATGCCGGTAAATATGTCCAGGCGTAATATACTTTAAGTTTTAAGTAATTCTTAAAACAAATAATGATTTATTCTGTAGTAGTTCTTAAGCTTAGTAATAATAGTTTTAAGATTATAATTTATTTGCAATTTGTAGACAATGATAAACAATTTATAATTAATTGATATGTAAACATAAAATTAACATAATATGCAAATTATTAATAGTGTCAATTACTTCGATCAACAATACAAAGGTCAAATACCCTATTATTATCTCGAGCTACTCCGTGCTTCGGAAGGCACATTAAGCCGTTGGTCCCAGTTAGGCCAGCGTGGAGGCTAATGCATCTCAAAGGGCCATCCTCATTAACCATCCATAAGGAAGGCCTGAGTCCTTACAGTGGGGACTAAAAAGGGCTGAAGATGATAATGGACGATTTATTATCTGAATATTATCCTGCACAATAGATTTTGATGTTTTGTTTTGCCGTTTATAAGTTCCACTTATTGCTTTTTGCTTTCCTTAGGTAGGCGACACTGAAACTGACACTTTTCACAGAGCATCTTATAGTCTTTGCTTATAATGCACATTACTCTAAGGTTGAGTGATCTGTTTAGTTTTGAATCGTATCAGATCGATAGGTACCTCGTTAATCTATGTTGCTTAGATTCGATCTTGAAATAATTGTATCATTTTAATAAAAATAATGAGTCGTATTATTAAAAATTTACAATAAAACACCAATAATTAAATAAATTCAGCAGGTGTGTTTTTATTTAAATATTTGTGTTTTATTGATAAGTTTTATATTATTTTCTTCTGGGCATACGATTTAATCTGAACTTAGATCTGTTGAATCAAATTATAAAATATATCGTGCTTCTAAAAGATCGAGTATCCTTGTTTTACTCTTTGGCTCTATGCTAGAGATGCAAGGTTCATAAAAGTATCGATTTATCCAGTTCGATATATATCGGTTACAACGGAAATCAATATATCGCTTTACAAAGTCTACATTTGGGTATTAAGAAAATTCAAAAATCGTTTTTGTTAAAATCTTTGTAACGTAAATAAAACCTATAAATAAAAATGTATTTATGTAATATTAATCCTGTGCGCGTAGCATGACGAAAGCGAGAGTGTTTACACCCTAATGTCACCTTTCTCTGGTACGCCCAAACGATATCTCATTAGTGACCCGATAAGCGCGACGTTTGGTCTAGACAAATATTGGTGAACCCCAATTCTGGTCCACCAATGTTTCAATGGGATTTGAAGTGGATACTATGCATATGCAAACCCGATTTAATAAAGATTTTACAAATTTTATTTATGTTTTGCAAGAAAACCATGGACAGCTAATCACAAAAACATTGTGTCAAAAAATAGATCAGAAGAGTAAAATTGTTCTATAAAAAGCATTTTATAGACGAGTAAAAACTCCTTGCTCTAACACTCCTCCTCAATTTTATCTCTTTTTTTCCATACCCATTCATACAACACTCATATCATACCCATACAACACCCATACTTGACGTACACTACTCAAACTTACCTTTAAACAAAAGTTTAGTCACAGAGTCAGCAACCATGCGCTTAGTTTGTACATATTCTAATTCAATATGCCCATTAGGGTGTCCCTTATATGGCATTTTTTTTTATTTTTATTAAATCGAAATGCATACCCCCTATATTTTTAATAAATGCAAAAATATACTCAAATATGAAATTTCATCATTCTAGCATGATCGCAACCCGTGCCGACCGAGCTACAAAGTTAATTAAAAATTGTGTTTTGTCCTAATATTTCGGTCTGTTATAAAACTAATATAAATGCAACAAATTCAGTGGAAATGAATTAAAATGAAATAAGAACAACATAAATCTTTATTTAAAAACATAAAATAATAACACTTAACCGGGGTAACTTGTCTTCAGTGTACTTTTTTACAGTCCGGATACAAATTTCTATGTTCCTGAACACAGCGCAGCAAGAACTGTTTTTGCTCTTCTTCGGCCGTAATAAGTCCGTTAAAATCTTGCATTAATTTAACAGCTCTTTCAGCAGTGTCATTTACAACCTTCAAACGACTTATTCTTTTTTTAGTTTCCAGTAAAGCAACATTATTATTCCAAGAAGATACATCTTCCCCTAGAAAACTGTCGATGATCTGCAGTCGAGAAAAAAATTGTTTGCTCTTTTCCGACACAAAATCATCTAGCGTTTTATCTGAAAAAAAATCAAGTTAAATAACAAAAAAAAAAACAGACAGGAAATGCAAAAAACAAAAAAAATAGCTTACCGAACAACTTTTGGGTTAGTTCTTCCTTTGATGTTTCATAGCGTTTGCCAAAATCTGAGCTTTTATTTCTGTTTAAGTTGGCAATCATTTTTATCTTGGTTTGGTTACAAACATCATCATCAAAAAGTGATAGAATGACTGCCTCTTCAGACAAATACCACAAGTGATGGCTAAACTTGCTTATAGAAGCTTTAGAAATTGTTGCGTCAATTTTTTCGTACTCTTTTAACATCTTCAAGAAGCACAAATCTTGGTTAGGTGCTTTAGTTGCCACTGTGTCTTTGAGCCAAGGTTTAACATACAATGTGACGATAAATAGGCAAACATCTTGTAGGGCTTTTTTGTCCTGCGCAGTCATTTTTAATTGTGACTGAAGTAAATATATTTTTAAAGAATAGATCGCTCTCGCCATCCATCGCGCCTGATGCATAGCTCCGGGGGGCCTGAGTTTTAATTTCTTCTCCATATCTCCTCCCAAAAATACTACGCATAGTTCAACTAATTCGCGATAATCGTCTCTTATAAAATCTTTGTCTAGTTCTGACTTATAAAACATTAACAAAGATGTAATGTTTGTTTCGGCAACATGTTCTTTTACGTAATCAAGGGGTAATTTAATGTTGCTGGAATCGATGTTATTCCAATTGTCTCTGAATTTTTTGAAGATTGGAATATCTGGGCTACTAGTTATTTGTTTTATCTTGGTTTCGAAGACAGATTTTAGAACCAATTCATAAATATGATGACGACAAGTGAAAAGCAACAGTTCCCTTTCTAAAGTCTGCTCCAAAACAGCACAAGCTCCATTGAAACGGCCAGTATTCGAAGCTGTTGTGTCGCAGCACATTATTTGAACTTTATTATGAAGATTCCAGTCAAAAAGAGTAGTTGCGACAGCTTTAGCTTGATGTTTTCCAGAAGAACTCTCTAGTTTAGGCACTGCAAGAAGCTGTTCTTTATCGTCAAATGAAGCAAGAATTGGCAAATGTTCTACTTTTGAACTTCGTACATTCAATCCGGGTAATAGTTTTCCATCCCAATGGATTGTGACCACGTCAGGCACATTGTTCTGAAAGTCAGTTTTTATTGCTTCTGCCCTGGATTTTCTCGTCTGAGTTCTGATTCGCTGAATCGAGGATTTGTTTATGGGGAAATCATCGCTGCTCAGACCAAGAGCTTCTACGACCGCATGAAGAATGTAAACGGAGTCTCTTATGCTTAACTGGCATCGATCTAAAGCTGCGACTAGTTTAGGTGTTATAAGATTCTTTCTACCTCTTTGTAATTTTTTGTCATAACAGGGAACGCTTGGCAAGCTGAATTCAGAATTCCAAATCTGTTCTTCTTCCAAATCTTCTAGACATTCTAAATTATTTGTAGTAGAAGAAGATGCAACTCTCTTTGTCTAACACTCCTTTCCTCTTCTTCCAATCGTCTTTGCCTAGCTCTTTCTTCTTTGTCCGCCAATTTTTTGTCTACACCGCCTAAGCATCCAGGTCGACCTGGCTCTCTCTGTTTCTTTAAAAATACTTTGTCTTCCTCTATCTTCATTCTCTCAAAGGCATCAGCATGTGCACTATCAAATAAGTTATCAATGTCAATTTTAAAATTATTTTCACGATTCCTAAAAGTGACCTGAGTTTTCTTACAATTTTTTTGTAGCTCTCTCCAAACTATATAAATCAACAAGTTTCTTCACACAGTTAGGAAATGCCTTTGTGGGAATTCTTGCCTTTTCCCAAAATATAGTGCACTCCCTAATCACAAGATTTGCGCTTTCACTGACAGTTAGCTTAACTTCGCGAATATTGTAAAATAAGACAGAGAGAACTTGTCGATTAGATGGTAATTTTGCACCATTTATTTGATTGCTAGGCAGTCCGACAAGGAAAATATTTTGTTTATCACTCCGCAATTTCACCGACATCTTTATACTTTAAATAATAGCGCACTAATAATCTTAAAATCACGAGTGAAATGATAAATGAAACGCGTAGTAACAGATCGCAGTGCGGTACCCTCGCTACTTGTATGAACGAGTTTAAATCACAAGTCGGCACGGGTTATCGTTTGTAAAACGAGCTAATATTTTTTTCTAGACTATATTGGGTTAGTACGAAAGTTTTAAGAAGGTATGCGTTAAAATAAATCGAACTTGAAATTTAAGGGACACCCTAATGCCCATGCTCAACTGCCTCCCTTATAAAGTGGTGGCGTACTGCAATCTGTTTTGTACGATGATGATGCACAGGATTGTGCGCGATAGCAAGGGTTGATTGACTGCCACTGAATATCTTAATTGGCATCTCCTCCTTATCAATTATTTCAGCCACAAATCTTTTTGTAAAACTTGTCTCTCTAGCGGCTTCAGACATTGCAACGTATTCCGCTTCCGATAATGCAACGGTCTTCTGCTTTTTGCTTTCGCAGCTGACAGCAGCACCCATATGCATAAATATTGCTCCTGAATATGAATCATAGCAGGAAGCATGACTTGCATCCGTTGTTATGAACCTGGCTAGCAGGCCGATGAGATATTTTTAGAAGTCTATTTTTTGTTGACATTTTATTCTCCTTTTTTCTTTGGTTTTTGTTCTTTTTGCTGTCATGTAAGTTAGCTGCGTATTTTAGTTTGTATATATTATTATGATTTTATTATTATATTATTTCCTTGACTTTGAGCCCTTTCTTTTCTTCCAATTCTTATAACTACTACCTATCTATTATATCCGGATAACAATGTATTTCGTCTGATATACTTCTCTTATACATAAGTCCATAGTGTTTGGTTCCTTGAAGGTATCTTAGCACACGCTTCGCAGCCATCCAGTGTTCTTCAGCATAATGGCTATTAAACTGGCTTAAATAATTTACAGCATATGCTATATCTGGGTCTTGTACATACAGCCAAATACATTAATGAGCCAATCACATTTCGATAGGGCACGTCAGGATCAGGTCTATTTCCTGGCCCAGGCTTGCTTAGATTTAAGCCTGTAACCGCAGGTGTAGCAGCTGGCTTGCAGTCTTCCATTCCAAAATTGTTCAACACCTTGTTGATATACTTTGATTGGTCCACTTTGATCCTTAAATCGCTTTGATTAATCTGCATTTCCAGGATTAGTTCCGCTTTGCCCAAGTCCTTCATGTCAAACTTTGACATAAGATCCTTCGTAACTTTGCGTAGTTAATCTTCATCATTCCAAAAAATTAACATATCGACATAAACCGCTAATATGATCACAACATTTCTTCTAGATCTAGTGTACACGCAAGGTTAATTTTTAGATCTCCTGAATCCCTGACTGACTTTAATAACTCATGATTGAGTTTAGTATTCCACGCTCTTGGAGCTTGTTTTAATCTGTACAATGAACGTTTCTGTAGACAAACATGATCTTCCTTTCCTTTTTCTTCGAATCCTTCCGGTAGTTTCATGTAGACAGTTTCATCAAGTTTCCCATTTAGAAACGCTGTCTTCACGTCCATTTGATCAATGTGCAAACCTTGTTTCACAGCCTGAGCAATAAGTACTCGTAGAGAACTGTGCCTCAATACTGGTGCGAAGGTTTCATCATAATCTAAACAAGTCGTGCTTTATATCTGTGACTATTTCCCGCCTCTTCTTTGATTCTAAATAGCCATTTAGAATCAACGACGTTAGACGACTTTTGCGGCTTTGCGAGAGCCATGTCCCAGGTTTCTTCAGCGCATCAAGCTCCTCCAGAATTGCTTGTTTTCATTTTTCGCTGTTTGATTTTGATAGTGTCTCGTGCACTGTCAATGGATCTCGTTCCACTTTGGCTTGATATAGGATATAGTCAGGGAACTGTTTTTCTTTTCTATCCCTCAGTGGATATCTCCTTTTATTTTCCTGTTGAACATTTTCAGGAACTTCAACTGATTCGCAGTCTTCAAATATTTCGGCATCTGGTCCTGCGACTTAAGGTTCTGGTTCCAAGATAATTGGTTCAATATCTGTTACATCACATTCCTCTATTTTAGTATTGGGCCACCACAATCTCCTTCAGATGTCGGGTTTTCTGATTCAAATTCTATCATTTCCACATCCAAGTTTCTATTGTGATCTCCGTTAGCATCTGGTTCTGGAGGCGTGTGCAAATTGACAATTCCATTTCTTTACTCATTATCAGGAAACACCATAAACTCCAGTTCAGAAGGTGCCGATGGTTCCGAGGTTGTATATTTACAGTTTTCCAGTAAAACTACATCTCTAGCCTTGAACTGCTTTTTTGTTGCAGGTTCTATAAGGTGGTATGCTTTTGCGTTGTCACACAAGCCAATATTGATCAATTCTATACTCTTTGCGTCTGCATTTGGTCCGCTTCTGTTTGGGAATATGAATAAATGCTTTGCACCGAAAATCCTAATCTTGCTCAGATCACACTTCTTCCCACTCCATTTTTCCTCTGGTGTCATATTTTTCCCCGGAATGGTAGGTGATCTGTTTTTCAGGTATACTGCATGATAGACAGCTTTCGCCCAAAACCGCTATGGTAGTCCGGAATCATGTAACATGCTCCTTGCCTTCTCACAAATTGTGCGATTGTACTATACCTAAAACTTCAGTTGCCCTCGAACCGTTTTTAGAGAAAGGCTGCCGCGTTTGTTTTCCTATAATGCAAAAAACACATTCAGTTTTGCAATTACGTAATATAATATTTGGAAAAGTCACCCCAATTGCCATCTTTTCCCTCAGTAATTTCAAGTTTCTTTCGCCTAGATGTCCCATCTTTCTGTGCCATAAAATCTAATTGTTTTGCTCACCTTCCGTTGTTGCTAGTGCAGAACCGTATAAACAGTCTCTGATTTTGTAAATACCTCGTTCTTCTATACCTGTACCAACATATTCATCATAGACTTCACATCCATTACTTTTAAAATTGTCACATCCTTTCTCTGTAAACATTAAAACATAGCCTTTCTTAGTTAAAGCATTCACACTCAACAAGTTTGAAGCTAAATTTGGAATATAAGTAACATCGCCTACCGTCATCTTATCAGTCACAACCGTACCGACAATTTCACCCAGCACCTTATTTCCATCCGCACACATAACTCTCAAACGTCTAGCAGTCTTCGATACATCTTTCATCCAAGCTTTTTTCTTCGTCATGTGCGTCGAAGCAATCTTCTCCAGGTTCAGACTTCAGTGTTGTTCCGAAGGCAAACGCTTGATGAGCTTCCTTCTTTGATTTTCCCTTGTTTGGACAATGATAATATTTGTGAGGGTTTAGGCCGGGAAACATTTATATATGGTGGTTTTCCAAACCAATAAAATGACATAAAGTTCAATAACGGTTTGTATTGTCTGGCGATCACAGAAACAAAATACAAATAAGAAAGTAATAGAAATAAACGTAACCCTAACCTAATTTATTATAAACTAAACTAAACTAATACATATTATGGGCGGACTGCGCGAGCTGTCGCGACAGCAAGGGGAGCGCGGAAACTACTGATTACGCGTGCGCGCAGTAGTGGGCTCGCCGGCAGACTCTATTCGAACAGCGAATTCGTCGAGCCGTACCATTCGTCGGCGCATGAGCGAATCCAGCTAGGGATCACGGTAGCGTTGGGGTTTACGTTGGCGAGACGATCGCTGGGGCAAATAACGTTTTGCTACAAGGGCCATCACAGATGTAGCATTTTCATTGTTTCTTATCTGGCTTGCTAGTTGTAGTATTAATATGTTGTCTATTGTTCATTTGACTTTGTCAATATGAATTCAGTATATGTCTAATGTAACTAATATTTTTATGTTGATTAAAGCCAATATTCTAATGATAAATTGGTTATTTCTATCAATTTAATCAACATAAAGAAAGCTGATAAAAATGTCGAAGGAGAAACCTGAAAGTTCTACGGAAGAAATATCAAAACAAATGTCAAATATGTCTCGCTATCTCCGACCGGAAAGATTTGAATCTGAACCGAATTCTGTGATGGCCGATCTCAAATGGAACCATTGGTTAGCTACGTTTACTAACTTTTTAAACGAAGAAGGTCCTCATATTTCTACTGAGTTGAAATTACGTTTGCTAATTAATCATTTGGCACCTACAATATTTTCCATAATAAGAGATTGTATTACGTTTGAAGATGCTATAAAATTATTAAATGATGCGTATATAAAACCTAAAAACGAAATATTCTCTCGTCATGTACTTTCCACAAGAAAACAACTGACAGGTGAATCGATAGCTGAATATATACAAATGTTAAAAAATTTAGCTCATGAATGTACCTTCAAAAGTGTTACAGCAGAAGAATATAGACAAGAATATATACGAGATGCCTTTATATCGGGGATAGGTTCAAAACAGATTCGTCAACGACTTTTAGAGAACAAAACTCTATCATTAGATGATGCTGTGAAGCAGGCCGTAACACTTGAATCCGCTGAGAAAGATAATAATGCAATTACCGAAAGCTCAGTTTTAAAGACTCAAATCAATGCTGTCAGTGAAATACCTTATTCAACATCGTCGAATGAGAATTTAGCCATTGCTACGCGACGGAAAAGGAGGTGTTTTTTCTGTGGATCGGAGAGTATTCACCAGCGAGTAAAGTGTCCAGCTTATAATGTCAATTGTCAATTATGCTCCAGAAAAGGCCACTTTGCTAATGTTTGTCGCTCTGCTAAGCAAAATACAAGTTTTTCGAACGCAATAATACACCAGGATAGTCACATAGAAGAAACAAATGACGGCACTGAATGTATTTCGGCTGCATTTCCGGGTAATCTGATAAAAGCAACAATTCCAGTCACAATAAATGATCTCCGAGCTGATGCTCTTATTGATACCGGAAGTTCATGTAGTTTTATCAACGCAGAGCTTGTAAAATCTATGAATATTAAAATGAAAAGAGTAACCCAAGCAGTATCATTCGCATCATTGAATC